CAAAATCCCAATCAAAGGCCAAAGATTGCTCAGAAAAGGGCAACACTTTTTTCCATATAATTTGCTTGACAGAGGGAGACAGTTGCCATCCTGAAGGCTTAAAATAGCTCTGGGCATGTGCCATCTGCCTCTCCCCGGGGGGTTGGTGGCAGGACCTTAGGCCCCTGGTTTTTGCTGCTGGTGCTGCTGCTGTTCTGGTGACATTTCCTCACTGTGAGCCTGAGCTATTCTCAACCTCACCATGCTGTTTACACTCCTGGGGGAAAGTTCTCTTTCAATAGACACTGATCAAGTAGCAACTCCCACTTTACTTCCCGGAAAATCTGCAGAAACTGAGTTGGTCGTAACTTTGATAGAGTTGAAGAGAAAAGACAGAGGTAGGGGATGGTCCTTGCATTTAGGTGAAAAAAAATTGTGTTAAATATATAATAAATAAATATTAATATTCCAATATGATATAAATGAAAGTTCATGAAATTAAATTTTAAATTCAAATTTTCAAAATACCCAGAGTCATGTGTGTAGCAGAATGATTTGACCCAACCTGACATGTGCCACAAGGCACCTGTCAATCACTGGCTCTTAACATCTCAAAAAATGGAGCTGTAGTTAAGGCATTAGTAATGTTGCTGAAAACAAGGGGGGCCAGTGTAAAAAAAGGTAAGAGCAGAACTAAAGATCTCCATCAGTACTCAGAAATTTTTTTTTGATGAGTATTTATGTCCACGATTTACCCACCAGAACCAGACACTGATCACACAGCTTGGTTTAAGCCCTCTGTCCAACCTTAAATGACATCTGCTAGTATGAAGTACTTGGCTAACAAAATATCTCACTGAAACAGGATGAGAACCATTGTCTTGGCGGAGTCTTGTTGTCTTAAAGAAGATCAAAAAGAAAAAGAAACTGGAGTTTGGACATGTGATCTACCCAGACAGCAGAGGCTACAGAGGCAGAGGCTGTGCCTCAAGTCTCACATTGGTTAAAATTTGACTAGAGTCCACGTGGCTGATCCTTTCACTCCACAGCTGACATGGAGTTTCTCTGAATTGTTTGAGTTACATTACTCATTACTCATTACTCATTACTCATTAGATGTAGTCACTCGATCCATTTTTATAGCATGTAATCAAGACCTGCCTTTTATAATACTTCTAAAACTGAAACTTAAAACTAAGACACAATTATTAAAGCCTTGTTACAGGCTTTGATCTGGCCCTGTCAGTCCGGCAAAGGAATCCCACTAGAATTCCACAAAAAAATAAATAATAAAATACACTGCTGACTTACTGCTTAATCTTGGATATGCAGAAAAGGAGGTTTCTATTTTTTTTTCTTTTTTAATTCAATAAAGCTGTGTTTGAATTTTTGAAAACTATTTGACTCACCCTTGTATTTCCTCCCCAACAGTCGCAACAAGTGTCAAACACACCTACAGTCATGTGGTGAAGCAACACAAATGTGTAAAATCTCCCTGACACAATTCCTGACATCAAGCCCTTCATACCTCTCTGAACTAATCCCCACATCACTTCACAAGATGATTACAACACGGCAATAGTTCCATGAACTATCAAGCCATAACACGTGAGGGTTAAAGCATCATTTAACAAGCAAATAGCCAGGATGTGCCAATTTCCTATAAGCATTTTCCATTTCAACAAAAAAAACAAAACAAAAGAAAAACAATACCTTTACACATTAAATAATTTACACATTTCAATCCAAGACTGCCGAAAATCCTGCAGAGTGACAGTAATAATTTAACAGTTTGGATGTGGATCTGGACAAACATTGCTTTAATGGACACAACAGGCTCAGGCTTGTTTTGTTGCCTGGACCGGATTAGCTCAGTCATGCTTACAGGAGCAGTGGATTTTCCACAATGAAAAAAACACAACACTGACAGAGTCGCATTGTAACCGGAATACTGACTCGGAACATCCAATTAGGACGGAATGGCTTCATGTGTCGTGTTTGAACCTTGGATAAACAACAGTTTAGCCGAATGTCCTCGTCAATATCAACAGAAACGTACACTTTCACAGAGACCTTTAAACTGCCGCTTCATGAAAAGCCAGACGGGGTAAAGTCTGACCCATTATCTATGTATATGTATGTGAGAAAGATTACATACTCATTTGTATGTGTCACTGATGCACCTTTCCTCATGACTGGAACATGTGAACTGCTCTATGGCCAGTTCTTGTTTTCTTCCTGAGAACAGCTTTTCAAGTCTTCATCCACTGACCAGTGCTCTGGTCAACAAACACAAATATCCACAGTGTTTGCTGTGGCTACTATTTACTGACCCACATTTGCAACAACATGACAAACTGTAGTCCCTTGTCAGACTCAGTTAGCTACATTTGGGGTTTACTCTGGAAACGTGCTTGTTGACTAACTCATTTTGTAATATTAATACCACTCACCTCTGTAACTACAGTAGAATCCATGTAGGATACTGGTGTTGTGGCTCAGTCTTCACTCAAGCAAAAAAGTATCGAATTTCTCTTCAGAAATACTAAAAGAATTCCAGAGAGCAGCCTCTAAAACCAAAGCTAACGGCTAATTTTTAAAAACAACATTTTAAAAAAGCTTAATTCTAGGTAATTTTAGGTTGAGGCGTTTCCTTTCAGGCAAGTTGAAACTTGAATTAAAAATAATAAACAATTCTCTTGTATACCAGTATCTTAGTGTCTTAGTCTGCAACCTAAGCTGAATAATTACACCATCTGTTGTCCCTTCTGCCTAGGAGTAGGTTAGCATTTTCATATGATCCCTAAAATACTGATCATCCTTTCATATAATTAAGTGAAACAGTAGCTAATTAAGAAACATGATCACAAGTTACTTCATTGGGGAATAAAATTGAAGTTTAGTACCATAAAAGCTGCTCTTTCACACACACACAACAAATTGTAATTGACACACGAGTAAGATCATGTGAGTCGAACCAGCTGAGGTGCATGTGTGTTTGAGAGAAAAGACGGGTGGGGTGGGATCCACTCACAAGTATGTTGTTAAACAATACTATGTGGGTGTGGGTGGGTGTGTGCACGTGTGTGTGTGTGCATGTGTGTGTGTTGAAGCCAGAGGAGTGGGCGTAAGTAAAAATAGAATGTCACATTTAATTTAAACTGCTAACAACAGCGTGTACGGGTTTGTTTTTGACGGACGTTGTTGTTGGCAGCGTCTGTGGAAGCTGTCGTTACAATTACAGGTGTATTTTCCAACCAGTGATGAGAGGCAGCCCTGCACTAACCTGGAAAAGCGTTAGGTCCAATCCCAGGGGCCTGCACTGGCAGGAATACCCCCCTTCTTAGGGACTTTGAACTCAAATGTCATCCAGACAAAGTAATAACAAAAAAAAAGTGGTTTCTCTAAAGAGGGAAGGGGAAGTGGGTGGGGTCCCCTCAGACTGGCTGGTTCTCTTTCATGTGACAATAGAGATGGTTCATTCAAAGACCCACACATACACGCACATAAAACAATCAAGGAAAAACAATTATTCTGCTCACAATGAGAAGTATGTGAAAAATGTCTGCAATGGGATGAAGATGGGTGGAAACCATTCATATGGCCATGCAAAACTGGGTCCACTGGGTTTCTGCAATTTGTTAACTGGTTCATTGCCAGTAGAAGTAGCAACTACATTTTTTAAAATACAAAACAATTAAAAAGCAACATAAAAACTATTTCATTGTGAATATCATGTAAATCTTGAGTAGGCAACTTTGAAAAATTAAAAACAATTGAACTACATGTAAACATTCTATTCATACTGACTTAGTGTATAATCATAAATACCTGCATTAATCTCACTTGTTTAAATACATTTAAATATACAGAATATATAAAGTAAGCTGAGTACTGTAGTTCATATTAATAATACTGTATCTTAAAAGTGCTACTAGCAGCATTAATGTGTGTCAAACTGTGTGTCCTTGTAAGCCCTTAAAAATACAGTGTACAATGAATCTGTATGGTTTATGTTTTTCACTGCAAGCTAACTTGCTAAATACTAACATGTATGCACAGATATATTGAAACTGCCCAGACGCTAACACACCTAATCGATTTATTTCATGAATTTCCCTCCCATGCTGGTAGAGTGGAACAAGCATAGAAGTCACTTATATTGTGACTAGTCTTAAATACTCATGTCTTTTGTTTCCATGGTGCTTTCTCACTGTTGTGTGTTGTGTGTGCTTCCTGCTTCCAACATTTTTAAACATGACTCACTGGAGGAAAGGTTTATAATTTCCTTGTGAAAGCGTGTTCAGAACGTGTGTATACAAAGGTAACTGTTCACTGAACCAAGTGATTGTTTGTGAATTTCGCACAGATATGATGACATAGAGAGTCCACTGAATAAAACCTTCAAGCCTTTTGAAGCTCAAACTTATACTCCAACCACATTCTGAGAGGTCAGCGTGATCCAATCAGATCCAAATGAACAGCAAATCAGTCAACAGATCAGGATAATCTGAACCTGGCCAATATATGTCCTGCTGGGAGTTGAACCAAATATGTGATGAATTCTTTTCTTTTCATCTGTCATTACATGACAGGTCCAAATTGACACTACAATTTGGAACTGTCAAAACAAACTCAAATGGTTTTCAAATTAAATATACAAATGGTTTTTGTCATGTTTGAGAGGAAAAACAGCATTCATTGTTTTGTACAGATTACTGGTTCCTTACTGAGCAGTTCAAGTCTACATCACTTCGTTTTGACGTTGAGGTACCACACCCCATGTGCAATATTTGTTATACAAATCATTACCCAAATGCTCTGATCTAAATAACCTCCGCTGCCATTTGCTGCTGGTTGTGCAACTGACACTGAAACCTGACTGAAGCCTTCTAGCACTAGGACGATTCTGGCAGGTCGAGGCTTCTCTGTGGTTGGCACAGGCTGCAAAGATGAAAAGAAACACAAGCAAGCAAGAGCATTGCGGGAATGCACACCCATGTTTATGTCTCATGCTTCCATTCTTTCCCAGTATCTCTACTGTCTCTGCTCTGCTTTGATAAACAATCACAAGGCGGGCTCTCCAGGACATGACAGCACCTTTCCACTTATGTTGGAGCAGGACAGGATGCACATTTGACTGCAACAATGCTCTCTGAGCACATGACAGGGAAGAGTCCCTAAGCATGTGAAAGCAACATGTTTCGCTCATTATATTCCTTCTCACAATCCTAGCATTGTTAGCATCTGATGTTGGAATGAGGGGGGGGCATGAAAACCCAATACTCAGCCCCAAAAGGACCTCATCTAGGAGGAGACAGAAACTGGTGCAACAAACATGTGACCTCTGTTAGAAAGATATTGGCCAGGATGTCCAGTAACACCTTGAATGGTCCTAGAAGGTTGGTAGGATACTGTACATGGTTCTAAAGCTCAGGCTTTGATTTGTTTTTAACTGGAAAACATACCTTGTCCAAAGTCTGCTCAGTAGCAATCATGTGATTTAAGGAAACGAGCAGTTACACTGTAAATGTCATGTGACTATTGATTTTAAATCGGCATGAAAAAAATTAAAGAGCAAAAGGACATAGTACAAAGAAACCATACATACAGTATATTGTATGTAACTACAATGGGATTTGCAGGCAAGATTAAACATGGCAATCCACCCTGAATCGTTTTACTGATTGGCTGATAAAGAGAAAAAAAAATGCTGATGATATGTGAAGCCAAAAAGATGAGAGCATGGACGTATAGGTATTCCTAACCTGCAAAATGATTCCTCCATATAATATCAGCCATAGTCATTGGTGGGCCACCAGCAGGGTGTGGTTTACCTTTGTCGTGGTCAGTCCTTATCATATCCATTAAGGAATTCTCCAATGAGTGCAAGCTAAAAGCATCAAAGGGCCGATTCCGGTCCTGCAAACAGAAGAAAAGAGCAGAAGAGCAGAAGGTGAAGAACTGGTTTTTCATGATCATGAACATATTTTTATTTTAAAAAAGTGATTTAATTGTCATTTTTACAGTAGTCATTTGTTTTGAATATTAAAAGTATCCAAAAACAGTCGTAACTACACAGTATTCATATACGGTTTAATGAGCACTGAGGTTAATTTTTTTTTTTTTATTATTTGTCACAAAAAGACACGTGGTATTACAAAGGATAGCTAGGCAATGTCAGCTGGAGTTAGAAATTGGCAGAGATTGTAGCAATCCTGCCACTGAAGTGTGTGGAATGTGTGTTTATGATAGTTGATTTTAATGCCCTAGAAAAAATGATTATTAGCAAAACAAGACAAGGACATCTTTAGCCAGGCTTACATATCATGAACATCTCAGATTAAGTGCACATTTTGATACTAAATGTTTTAATAGTAATAATATTTGCTAATCAGGTAAATGTAAATAGTGTCATAGCAAATGCCATTTATAAGTAATAAGCCCAAAATATAAAAAATACAAAATGGCTCCCAAATATTAAATTAGGGAAAGTAGAAGGTAGATAGAAGACAAAAACATAATAACAAATCCAGTTTTTATGTTGCCTAAATGTCACAGAAAAAGACGTTTAAAATCATTTTTAATCAACTGCTGTTGAAAATCTGGTTGACTTTTTTTTAAGGCTAGACCCACAACCAGCATGACTGGACATTATTTTGACACACAGGGAAAGACATTTTGCTGATAATGACTTTTGTTGGATGAACATGAAGAACATCAGACAGTACAGTATGTATCAGGTCTTATGGGAATGATGATCACAAGGCGGCCGTGTGATAATGAAAGAACACATAAATCTACCAGAACTATGACAGACATTTTACTCTTCAGTATTTCTTCTGTTCTTAGCTTCACCCTTGGGCTATTTGACGTATTAAAGGGTAAAGATGACAGTTGTGCAGCATGAATCAACACTTAGACTTCAGATACAGATTGGCTGACAAAACAGTGGCAGTAACATGAGAGTGGGTGTCACTATACTGCAGCTGACACCACATTCAGTTGGGATATTGTTTAAACAGATTTGTTAACCATGAGCACAGCACTGTCAACCATCAAAATGATATACTTTCAGCATAATTCTGAGTATTACAATAACACACATGGTTCCACGCTGGTTGACTTACTTGTTTGTTCCAATTGGGAAAAAAAGAAAAAAACATTTCCACTCATTAACACACTGAGCCAGTTTGGTTTTGTTTTGTTTTTTCAATTTTTACAGTAATCTAAATGTTTTGTTTTGGTTCTGTTGTGACATATAGACAGGAAGACCACGCTAACACACCGTTTGCATTGCGAGTGCCTTGCTTCACCCCCAGTAAACTCCGTGCTGCAGTTCTCCACCCCACACCAGAGTGCAACCCAAGACCCATAATGCAAAACCCTGAATAAAAGTCAACAAAGGTTTCAATGGTTGCCAATACTAAAAGTTCAAAGCTCTGCCACTGCAAAAGAACTCAGCTGTTGGCAGTTATGCACTATGTTCACCGGCCAAGCCTGTGTGCCACTGTTTGAACAGCTCCACCATTGTTGTCTATTCGGCTGAGCGTTCAAAAGTATTGTCCTCCCAACTCTGGTACCAACCGTGCAGTGTTGATAAAAATCTGCCCACTTAAAAAGAGCTGAACACTTAAACTGCTGAGCTTTTCGTTTCCTCTCGCTCCTCTCTTCTCTTACCCGTATGAACGATGACTGTGACGGGGGAGGGTGGACGACCTAAGTGTAGGTGAACTGACCTAAAGAAATCCCTGTAGTCTTCAGGTTTCCATAGTTTGGAATTCAAGTTCAAGTTGTTTCGCTTCCTGAGCTCCTCTTTCACCATGACACATAAACTGGATATACGGACATGTTTACTAGGGGGTAGTAAACACAGTATTTCATGGAAATAAAACGGCAACATGTCTAATTTGTAATTTGTATGTATAATTATATTTTTTATTAAAAAAGTATGACCACCAGGTAATATTTTAATTTTGAATGGAATTAACAATTACAAAAAATATACAACTTTGCAATATTCATGAGGAATTAAATTATTAAACTAGTATTAACGTCAGTAGTGCCTGACTGATGCGACCCAGGCCTGGGCCAACATCCCTGGGGTGCAGTTTTGAAAGTTCATAATACACCTGAAGGATATTTGCATAATAATGGATAAGGTGCGTGGACATTTGCAGCACTTCCTGTGTTGAGCAGTGCAGAAATTAAAATTAAAGGCTATATCCTCACCTGTCAGCCTTAAGTACAGCCTTTTATTCTGCATGGACTTGATATTCACAGCTGCCAAATTTGGTGCATCTGGTACAGGGTTTTCTAGGGCTGATCATTATGCCAACATATTTTCCTAACTTCAAGCTGATGCTAAGACTTTTTTATTCTAATTTTTTTAATAGAATTTTGGTTCATACATTTTCATGAACGTCGGACACACCTCAATATTTTGTAAAAGTAAAAAAACATTGTCAACAAATAATCCAGTGGATTTATAGAGCGCCTGACACCAATATATCATTTTAGGCCTTTGTCATTGTTTCTCCGTCTTTTGTTATTTTCCGTTCGTCCTCCCTGACCAGAAATGCCACTAATTATACTTTTCAATATCAGTTACTGCAGAATCATTGTGTTTCATCGTCACACATAAAGAAGGACGAGCCAAGACACTGGCAGGGTTGTAAGTTAAAATAATAATAAAAAAAAACTAAAAACAACATGGTAAACAGGCTGAACCACAACCTTTTCCAGTAATACACTGGTTAAACCCCAAGTCCGGTTGAAACGCCTTCTGTTTTGAACGTCCGTCAGCGTCAACAAGGACTTGTCCCTAAGATCAAACTTTCAAATTCCTGATCTAACACAGTGCTGTGATGAAAGTTGTGGACTGCAAAAATAATCGCCATCGCCAACGTTTCAAATAAGGGCATCTCCTGAGAAGCTCATGTGACTTTGTGTCTTAAGACTTACACTGACATGTTAAGTTGCATTCCACAAATTCCTTGACCTTTAAACGGTAGACAGCAGCAGCGAGTACGAGCACATATGGGAGCACATGACAGTTTCACCCATTTTATGCAGTGATTCTCCTGAATTCTGAGGAAAATGGACAGAATGACAAGGAGTACACCTGTCACTGACTGCAACCTGACACTGCAGGACCTGTGTGTGTGTGTGTGTGTGTGTGTGTGTGTGTTTACCACACCTGCTGCTCAGATCAGCAAATAGCTTTTAAGTTTCACTTCAGTAAACAGGCCACTTGACATGTGGCACCATGACCTTGCATCCTGGTGATAACCTTTCACTGGTTATGGGTTTAACTGTTAGGCAGCTTAGTGTGAGCTAAAGCCAGTGTTACATTAGATGCACTTATGAGGCCATTAATCAATTCCCTCTGGTTCATTAGCAGAAAACACTTAGTATTATCATTGGTAGCACTGTAAAAAATATTGTTTATTATATGGCTGGACTTAAACAATAAAGTTGTTGAATGAACCACTACTTCCTGGCTAACCTGATTATGAACATTATTAGCATTATGAACAACAAGCATCAGCCACGTGCTGTTATCCCAGGCTCAAACTGTTAGCTTAATAAAATGTTTGACTATAAATACATATAAATAATAATTATGTTCAATTAAAAATACAATATTTCACTTTTTATTTCTATTGAGTTAATGTAAACTGGTAAAAAGAATGCATTTTAGTCAAAAGACTAAATCAGAAATAAGTTAATAATAAGTTGCTAGCTGACTTGCTAATAACTAAGGTCCACTGGAAATCTGTTTCCCTTCTTTCCATGCTTATAAACAACAGCAGGGACACCAAAAAAGTAGGTCGGGATCTGAGAGTAGACCTCAAAGTAGTTCTGATAGCTCACAGGAATATATTGAATTCAGGGGTTAATGCAATTATACAACATATGCCAAAATATACTGTTAATATAATACGTGTATGTAGCATTTCCAAGGTAATAGATCATTTCATTGTATATACCATACATTACGGTTAACCAGATTTTCTACAAATGATCAAGCCCTAGGGCCTGCAGGTTGCGTCTTGCTAGGAGACTTGAAAACACCGGTTTCTGGCAATATCAAGTCTTGAGAATTTTCCTATATATTTTTAAATGTTAATCAAAACAAATAATAAATAGGACATTGCAGTTATAATAAGCCTAAAGCCAGATAACTATTGTTAGCCTTCACTGTGCCCTCATCATAAAATCTGTTTGTCAGACTTTCATGTCAGTAAACAAATCACAGCATGATATGTGGCCCCTTGACCTTGTTTTCAGGCAATCTTAAGTTGTGAGCTGACCAAGTTGTGAAACCACAGATAGGGGATAAAGGAAACTTGGTAATTAAAAAAACGCAGAGGCCTGACTTACATACACACCAACGCTTAAACGTACGCACGCACAATAACTATCGCCACAAAAGGCCATAGGTCTCAGGCTGGCTGGAATTTCACTCTACACTTGGTAGTGCTTCGTCTGCAAATGTGGGTCTCCCTACAGCACCAGGTCAACATTTTGGCTTGCACTCACTCCCTTCTTAAGTCTCTGCTTTGATCAGAGGAACACGTTCTCCTCTTCAAGTAAGCCAGCAACTTATAGGATGTGAACTCAGCTGGCTTCTTCACCAGGCAGTATAGCTTTACACAGAGTGAAACACGCCATTCAGTAAGTTAGCAGGAGAACTGTATAGAACGCTGCCCGCTGTGATGCAGGTGTGTGACATGGCTAATGCAGTGTTTTCAATTTAAAGCACTTTTTTAAAATATCCTTTTAAGTTATTACCCAAATATTCATTTATATGAAACAGACAAATCAAATAAGCCTTTATAGCCTTAACTCAATGTAAGTTAATCAGTACTTTATCAATGTATGATCTCTAAGCATTACAATGACATTGTTAAGACTGAAAAGCAAAATAATCGATTCACAATAAATCGATCAATTTTGCCTCAATATACATAGATCACCCCATCTAAATATTAACTTTCCTTTTCTGCATTATGACATAAACCAAGACTTCCACCTACTCAGAGGGACTTTGTCATCTGGACGTAAACCCCGCCCACTGTTTTGTCACAAGCCAATCAAATTACGAGAACCAGTGTCGCTTTCACTGGCCATCGGATATCAGGACTATCCGGTTTGATGGTCTACAAATAAGTAAAGGTATATTTTGTAAATAAATTAATAAGCCACGGGCGCGACACCGGCGCTACATCACACGCATATTACATATCTAGCAATCACTAATGGTTCTTTTACTGTCACTAGTGCTATTAGTGGATAAACATCTGAACAGATGACGTTAAAATGCACAAGGTGTCCTTGAACGCCTTGCGTGTCCCTTTAATCCCAGAGAGTAAAGTGGAAGAGACAATATTACCATTATAGCCATAAACCATGCACTGGCAGTGATTATTACCTGAACTAACTGGGTGTCACTGCATTAAATGCATAAAAATGGGCAAAGAGTCCACAGACCTAACTAATTTACACAGTATAAACCCGATGACCTCCACATCATGAGCTGTCAGGCTAAATGCTATCATGATGTTGACAGTCATGGCAAGAACACTTTCTGTAATCTCATATTTAAACAATATTTTAAAACTAAAAACGGAAATACGGTACAACACAAATAAATGATGGCTCCACAATTTACTGTTGAATTGAGGGCAGCCTCGCATAGATGTAGGTTAAACTGACTACCAGTCGAGTTGCATGTATATATTTAATTATTGACTGAGGCAACGCAGCAAGGCCTTGTATTTACCTGGAAAGGCAGTATGTTGTTGCTGTTGTCAGTCCTAAAGGCGCTGTCCTCCATCCAGGGTTTGGGGGTGAGGGGACCAGGTCTTGGGAATTTGGGGGGTGCTATAACATTGCTGTTGTAGGGCTTTTTCATAGGGGAGATTGGGTTCAGAGTTGACGGCACCCCGACTCCCACACCGACACCGACACCGACACCGACCCCTACACCGACTCCTACCGCCCGGCGCGGGTCCCTGCCCGCCTGCAGCCCGCTCCATGGGTTAGAGGATGTGCCCCAGCCGGCGTTCTGGTGATTATTCCAAGCGGAGGATGGAGCAGAATTAGAAGAACCCTTACTGTTATTCAGGATGGTTTGATAAGCGTTTCTCTGTGGGAAGGGGCCCTGGTTGGGGCTAACAGGGGATCTCCTCTGCTGCTGCTGTTGCTGCTGCTGCTGCTGCGGGGCTGCGGGCTGTTGGTGGTGCTGAGTCTGTGGAGCCAAGCCGATCTGCGGGGAGAAATTGCCCCCGAAGACGGGGTTGACAGGGTGCGGGAAGTTCTGGAAAAGCATCGTCCCGTTAACCGATGGTATTCCCTGGAAAAAGCTGTCGTCCACGCCGGCGTTTGTGGTTCCCGTGGACCAAGTGCTCCCAAATGTGGAGGAGGGAGAGGAGAGGGGACCGCCGGTCTCCTGCGGCTGGTGGTGGAAGCTCAACCCGGGCAGGATCGGCGACTCCATCGGCACCTTGTCTTTGCCGTTGACGCTGAGTGCTGAAGCCGCCTGGTTGTTCCCAGTCGACGGGCTCTCCGAGTCCGATAGAGATGTCGGTTCCGATGACGGGGTCGGGGTGGAAGGAGGAGGAGGGTCTACTTGCGTGGGATCTTGCTGATGATGAGGCTGGGCTTTGTTTTTGTCCATCAGTAAATCATCCTGCATGGTTTGCTGAGCTGAAACGGGGGAAAACAGAGACGACGAGTTATTATTATGGCTGTCATGAAGCAGATCATAGACGGGACTCGCAGTGCTGCTGTAGAATCTGATGAACTGGGACAGCTCGGACAGCAGAGAGGGAGCAGGCAGTTGCAAGGCGAATGCGTGATCACCCATTTAGCCGAATAGAAGAAAAGGGCAAAAAACACACTCACGCACTCCTCAAGACTACAACTAGAATGATTTACTAATCCCACAAATTATACACGGAGCATATGCCGCTGCAAAATATTCACCAGATTTCGCCACGTCTCGTCTTTCCTTCCACGCAGGAACTCCGGAGCTGCAATGTGAAACTGATTCAGTGTGTTTTGCCCAAGGACCTCCCCTATATTCATTTACATACGTCAGTAAATACAGCTGTCCTTCCACAAGGTTAAAATACGTTTCTAGTCTGCCTCAGGCACGACAACGGACATGTCCACGCGTCTTCCCTTTTCTGGCTAAAAATGACCTACAGAAAGGCGCACTTCACTGGTTTTACGCAGGATGCAGAGTGACGCAGCTGAGCCAATTTATCAGAGAGCAAAGATCTTCTCGTTTCCTTATTAAAGTTGGTCACGGTGACATTTGTAATGTTGTGACTCAACTAAAGGCAAACGGCAAAATATGAATATAAAGTAAAATATTTTGTGGCGAAAAATGTGGCTCTCATCGTGTTGCAAAGAGGAACAGAGCGTTAGTCCGCAGTGACACAGCCGAAGGTTGGCATTTACATCACACAAAAAAGAAAACAGTGTTTTAGGGTAATAATAGATTAAAGCCAAAGGTAAACTATCACTTAAAGCCTTGCTTGGTGCCATCTCTCAGAAGTTAGATATGAGAGAGAACACTGCACACGATATTATTTTACTTGGCTTGTCAGGCACAGCGTCATTCTTAAATCACATGCATATTTAAATATCAACACCAACATGAGCATTTTGATATTAGAAATTCTACAGTGGTGGCTTTAAACACGAATGACATGACAGTGGAAAATCGGAAATATCTTTTATGCGCTCCTCGTAGGTTAATATCAATTCAGACTATATATAAACGTATGCTATTTCACACTCCCAGAGGATCCGAGGTTAAAATGGAATTAATGAAAACTATGAAAACATTTTGTTGGCTCTCTGCAGGACTGCGGGAGAGCTAACACGCAGCCAAACACAGAGGCCTTCCAATATGTAAAAGTCAGTGAAGCACTGTTTAATGACACACAAGGCACATCTTATCAGCATAATGCCACAGTGGAACAAGTTGGACTTTAAATGAAATGGTAAAAGCCTGCATAGCACAAACCCAACCGCTTAATCCTCGGTTTCTCGTCCCAGTGCTGCGCTTCCAAGGTCATCAAAGCAGCACAATCAGCAGCCAACTGTGCCAAACCTCACCGGCATATTCACCACTGACAGTGCCACAACCCGGCCCTCTCAACAGCACTCTGACGCGCTGATCGAGGCATCCGATACGCTCCACGGAGCTGTCTTTGCCTCGAAATCCCACTATAATCTATATGTGTCCCCTCCACCACAAACACAACTACCACTACACAAACTAAAAAACTGCAACATGCAAAAAACACACTAACACAACACATTGACACCTTCTGGACTGAATTACCTTTATCGTTCACCTTTATGAGACTCTGTAAATAAAGTTATTTCTGGTGGCTTCGCCTAGGTTGAGATATGACAAACGAGCTACCCTTGTGCGGAGGTAGTCAGCAGTTGCCTCAACAGCTGATTGACTGCGGCGCATGGATGATGCCGCGGAGCCTGATGGAAAATGTAGTTTCTCTACATACAGTTGTCGGTTTAAGAATACATTCAAATTCTGGTTTTGTATGTATTGTGACTCTAATTCTCTCTTTCAGTCGCTCCATCAAAAATATGATTTTTTTTCTGTTTTCTGCAATTAATTGTATAAATAGCTACACTATCCCAAACACATTTACAAGTGTTTATATGTTGCATTTGTTATTGGTATTAATCAAATATAAATGTAATACAACTTTAATTATTTGTGGTCCATATGGAGAACAAATTCCGTTAGGGACCTTTAGGAACCCAGTTGCTGGCAATCTTGTATGTATAACAAGACCAAAGCTAATTCTAATCAACATCAAACATCAATATCAAATTCAATTCTATATAATATGTAGAAAATAAATACATTTCCGTTTAATAGTAATCGTTAACGACTAAATTGCTAAATTGCTACTATGAACGAGACATTGAACGAACCACTCAATTTCCCAAAATCCTTTGCGGTAATTCCTTGTTTTGATGACGTAGTACGCACGTCCGTCCTACTCTGCGTCATTACAGAGAAGTCTAGTGCATCGGTCACGCCAATGCAATGATATTTGGGACAAACAAGGCCGTAACCGATGTCAAGAGGAATTATTTTACGTATTAGAATACGCCGATCGCGCATAAATGCAAGACGCGGACTGTCGCGAACGTAAAGCAACAATTTTATGCCATTTTTGGCTGATTTGCAGCTGAGCCACGGTGTCAACACAAAGGCCTATGAAGCCTGTTAGCACTGATTCCTCAGCTAGCAGCTAGCAGGTGGCCAACATTTGCTGCATCAAACCTGACGGGCGTATCATTTTAATGTTCTATGTATGACTCAGTTTATTCCGAAAGGTAAGAAGGAGTGTTAGTGTTTTCTTCTCCCTTCACGATCATGGAGGAACAGAATGCAGTGGTTATGCAGCAGAATTCGGACAGGTGAGTTTAAGTTTACGGCTAACCTGCTGATGACAGGTAGCGCTACATAACGTCAGGTGGACACTTGTGCAAGAAATTAAATATTTGAAGAGTGGAAAACCGACGTTTGAGAGTCATTTCGATTTCGAGAAATGCATGCAAATTATTACAGTTTGCATCGCAGTGTGTGTGACATTGATAACGCGATATTATAACAAAAATGACCAGTAAACAATAGGCTGACGTTATTGTTATTTTTCTGTTAGTGCTAAGTCATATATTGCCCTGCTTTCTTTTCATCCAGAAAAGTTTGTTTACCTTCTAAAAATATATAAAACAAATAATGAACTGATTTTTGTTTTTGTTCAACCTTTGTGAACATTATTTATCAGGCAAGATCCTTTAGACTTTAACACAAAAGGTGTGAACTTCAGCATCTTGGTGGAATTATAATCCAGTGGCACTAGGTTTAGTGAGCTACATGAATGTTAACATATGGTTTATGCATTGCATGCTGACTGGTCTGCCTGCAGTCCTGATTTGTCTTAGGGGAATTATTTTTGTATAAGTAAAAATACAAAGATGGTTTTTAGTTCTGTTGCCAACAGATAAAGTTAAATGTTCCATATAATTTGTAAACCTCAAGCAGTCACTATATATTCTTCCGAAAGGCATACAATGTTATTGAAGAAGTTTGAGATGCAATAAGGTGGTTTAACTGGTACTATTGTAAATACTTGGCAGTTTTTGCAGCTGGGCGGTATACTCTTTAAGGCAAAGCTTAGTGACAAAGCTTTTGCAAATTCCAGATTGCACCTTTTTCCACAGCTTTTCAAAAAATATTTAATTTCATTAGCATATTAATTGGAATTCAAGTAATGAATGTTGAAGTGAATCAGTCCCATCAGTGCCACCCATCCACCATGTTTATCACAAAGATAAACTAATCTGTTTACAAAGGATATCCCACAGTTTGAATTTCACCTTATGGTTCTTTCAGGGGGATATTTCTATATTTAAAACATAGAATCCATCCATTTTCATCCGCTTATCCGCTACCGGGTCGCGGGGGCAGCAGTCGCCACCCAAATCACATTGCACCATACCAACCCCCCAAACCTTCCTGCAGGTGGTGAGTCCACTGAAAGGTATTAACCGCCCTAACCGGGATTCGAACTTGCCCAGGAGGTGAATCCTGGGGTTCCACACCAATGACCAATGAGACCTTGCCTCTGGGCCAAAGCGCCACTACGTAGAATCCTAATAATCATCATCGTTTCTATACACATAAAAAGCAGGAATTGCATCAAATAAATAAAAGAGTGTTTTTTTTAATATATATTCATCTCAAGGTAATAAATCAGCAACCAGCATGTTGTTATTCTGCCTTTGCTTGGCATCCGGTGCTTTGGCAGTAGCAGCATTAATTTGTGCTGCAATGCACATTTTTGCTTACGCTGCTGTATGAAAAATAGTAATGTGTACCGGAAGACAAGGTTGACTCGTCTCAGGGTCAGCCACTATGTGATGTCATGTTATATCACATTACAAAGATCAGTTGTACTTGAGTAATGTGGTCATATCACACCATCATAGCTCAGCATAACATGGCCAACTTAAAGAGGCTTGGGTCAAATAATTAGTAATCCTTTTTATTTCAATTCCAATTATTTTGTAAGATACATTGTAAGATCTGTTTATTATTATTTTGTTTCACCAAAGAATGAATAGGAATTCAGAGTCAAACACATTGGTGTGCCATTTCATTAAAAATAGTCACCAGCATTTGATAGCTTGCATATTGTGCACTAAGAGTTCTTTTTTAGGAATTTGATGCAGCACTTTATGTCAATATTGAACGTTTCTTTTGAAATCATTTCCCAAGTGCATTGAAGGTTTGCAGAAAAAGGCATGTGAGTTTTGTGAAATGTACTTGAATTGTGTGCTGTGGGCGTACGGCAGAGGCAATAACCCAGACAGTGTTTGCAGAGCTGATAGCAGGAAGATGTATGTCATGTCCCCTTGCCAATGGTTGTGTACCCAGTCACTATCACTGACAAACATAAGGTCCCACGAGCTCTTATCTGGACTGCCAAAAACAGTCAGCTGCCCCTGCAATGCAGTGTTTCACAAATCGAAGTAGTAGATACGTTTCAATTCAGCTTACACCATTTCATTGTCTCACACAAAAACTCCTGCCCTTTTCTTGTTTCCTTTTGTTGTCCGCTAACAGCCTTCTTCTTGTTGTGTCATTAGGTAAAAATAATCTCTTTGAGAATTTTAAATTGCACTTTTTTATTTAGTTTAATAGAAAGCATGGTAAGAAAAATAGTATAATTTTGTCATTATTATGTTACTTTCATTGAAGGTATTGTTATGCGTTTACCTTCTGAAATATTTAGTTAATAAGGTCACATGAACTTAGTTTGCTCTCAAGAGTAACAAATACACAGAAAAGGGCAGGTTTTATATTTAGGTGTTGGTATTTTTGAGGTATTACACAGTAATTCTAAACATTTCTTCACGCAGTATTCCTTGAGCATGTTTTAAACATGTCAAACTTATTGTCATACAAATAAAATCAAGTGAATGGTGAAATGAAAAATGAATGTAATTGCAATTTTAGATGTATTTTCACTACTGCCATACATGAAATACATCAAAAACAAAATTGGGTATTTGGAAGTCTAGGTTTAGCTTATTAGCTTACCCACAATACTGTAGCTGCTTGTGTTTTGTTAAACAACTGAGAAGAGGCATAAACATCTTCTCATATTGCACTTGCAGTTTTGGGAATGCAACTGTTTTTGGAAATGTGTTGAAACATTTAGGAAAATCTGTGATGGTGCAATTTAGTACTTTCTAACATATTGATAACCAAGTTTGGCCTGTTCTCTAGGAAGGTGTAGAATTAAGGCCTAAATAAGGACCATGATGTTCTCAGCAGTTGGTTAGCATGATAGGATAGAAACTGTAATACCTTTATCAATTATAGCTGTTAAACATGTAAATTCAACATTGATAAGATAGTTCGCCCTTGTAGTGACCATCATCAGCTCCAATGATCTTACAGGACATTTGAATGGCCACCTTTCAGACGCTGCTATCGACTTTTATAGTGTGGCACATGCCTTTCTGAATGCTATGGCTTGTACATCTATTTCCTCACAGACAATGTATCTTCCTTAGTGCTGCTAGTGCCAACCCTCTTCACATTAGGGTTGGCTTTGAAACTTGCTATCGTTAATAACATTCATCCATCTTTGATGAGCGTTCCCAAAGTGAAAAGCTGTCTCCAGGAAGCAATCACGTGGCATTTTAGGGAAACAGAACTTTTTCTCTTTTAAAAGAACTGAACTCTTAAGTTTCGGTGTGTAAACCGTGAAAGGGAGATTGCTCTAAATGTGCTGGCCTTTTGGCCTTTGGCAACAAAGGTGTCTGTGGTTTTAAAGTGTGTGTTTTTTTTGTTTTTTTTTGTAGTAAATTTAAGCTGTCTGTACACAGCCCACTGTAGTCTGGTTAATTTAAGCTTTCTGTACACAGCCCACTGTAGTCTGGTTATAACATTAGACTTTTATTAACTGACTATTGTTTTTAATGTAAATGTATAAATAGTATTTCCTGTGCTAAATGATGGGTGGTTTGATGTTGGAGACCGTTTTACATATGTGCAGTGTAGACTCATCGGCCAGGGTGTTCCGTTAAACAGGATTGAAGGCGACATCGAGCTGGAGAATAAAGTATCACACTGAGGATAGCATTTCAGGCTGTTGTATTTGGTCCTGTCAAGCGGTGGGGCTGGGTTACAGGAATAGGAGCCAGTGAATTTAAGGGAGACATGGGTTTTGTTCTCATCTGTCAAGCTCCTCTGAAGGCATCTGTCCAGTCCTTTATTTATTCTATATCCCATGTTTTTAATGAAATTGGGGGCACCAGGCCCCTCGGAGTGGGACACTGTGCAAGTTTTTGGTCTTGGTTCTTTGCGTTACTTCCAGATTTGTAGTGTGATTCTCTGTCAGTGTCAGGTGCAGTGTCAGAGAGATTGAAGTGTGGTGCAGACTCAGGCACCTGTCAGATGCAAAGAGGAAAAGAGCAGCTTCAGGGTGAGTTTTATGAAGACGGTAAACACAAGAGGCTTAGTGTTTCTGTCAGGCTACGATTCACAATGTGCGCCCGCCCTCGCCCTCTAACTGCCCATGTTACTCGAGTGACTCGACCTGAGTGCTTCTCTCCTGCGTCGTCATGTTTTATTCAGCACTGGGGGAGTGTTGGAAAAATCTTCCATTGCAAGTAGGCAGCAACCTGAGCAAACAATTCAAGTCGGCCATCCATGGTCTTTCAAACCCCTATACTCCCCTGTGGCCTCACTAACAACCTAGACCTCAGCCCCATGATGACAGAAGGCCACAGATTTGATATCCATTATTCAGCTGTGGGAGCAGCAGGCTTGAGATGTACATGGTGTACTATAGTGAGTCAGCTGGGTTGTAGGAAGGCTGTTGTTTGAAAGACTTTACATTCAAGTGAAAAAAACGTACCTCTTACTAAGGCAGTTTGTTGACTTTTTATTTCAACTTTTTATTTTGATTTAAGGCAACCGTTTTTCTCTGCTGACAGATGTCTGTCAGACATTCAGACAAGTGTTTCAGCTTAATTGAGCAGTCGACAAGCTATAGAGCATGAGAATTGAGAATTGAGCAGTCGACAAGCTATAGAGCAAAAAAATAGATTTAGGACCTTTTAAAAAAACCTGTCAGTGGTGCAGCAGAGGTTCAGACATGTTGATTTGCTGGTTGATTTAGAACAAATCAAGATGTGAATGACTTTGGAGCAAATACTTAATATTTCAGACACCCACTGGGCTTATATGCAATTCACCATTGGCGACCATGTCGACTGAGCATGAACAGAAGGAGGAACCATAGGAGTGTACTGAATTGTAAATTTGCAGAAGCATTGTCGTGTTGTATTAAAACGTATTTCCTGAAATATCTGTAGCTAGTCTCCATACACTGCAAACATGAGGGCCCTATTCTAGGTGTTTGCGGCGTTAAACTATTTAGGTTTTTTATGCAGGTTAGGCCTGATGCTATTGGGAAAACTTACTTTAAAAGGTGCGATAGTTAAGAAACACATCTAATCCAAAACTGAACCCCAGTGTGATGACTGGTGTTTAGTTAATACCTTTTTTGCCGAGGAGCGTGACTTCTACTACAGCACATCAGGTTTCTTCTTCTTCCTCTTCTTCCTCTCCCACAAATGTCTCCTGTAAAATTCATTTTCATGTTTAAAAAGCAATCCATAATTCAGAGTGGTTAAACCAAATGTGCAGTAACGTTGCAAAGTTCAACACAAACAAATAGTTAAAATGACTTTGTACAATTTAAGAGAAAAAATGTACTAATGAAGTCGGAGCTATTGCAAAAGGAGAGCTTCTCCTCCTTTGATCTTCGCCAGGCAGATAAAAGGAGGACCTCATCAGCATCATTCAATGTAAAATAAAATGAAGTGCAATTAGGTTTGATATTGAACAGTCTTTTACATAAGGGCGAAAAGGCATACATTTGTTAACTAGTGAAATTAAACAAGATCGAATGAATGGAAGGATTAAAATGATTTTCACCTAACAGTGTTGCAACATGGAATATATTGATGTCTGTTAAGACGCAGACGTCCCTGCGCTTCCTAAGAAATGTAACTAATTACGTGAAAGTAATTTCTACAGCTAAAGCGGTGCCCTTAGTTATCAGGATGTGTTGCCATCTTCATCTCACCTGTGTGTGTATGTGTGTGTGTGTGTGTGTTTGTTTTCAGGAGCTGCTGGGTTTGCTTTGCCACAGAGGAAGACGACCGCACAGCAGAGTGGGTGCGACCGTGTCACTGTCGTGGCTCCACCAAGTGGGTTCACCAAGCCTGCTTGCAGCGCTGGGTGGATGAAAAGCAGCGTGGCAACAGCACCGCACGCGTGGCCTGTCCACAGTGCAACGCAGAATACCTGATCGTCTTTCCCAAACTAGGTGTGTTGATCTCCCAAGGTAGATAGAGAACACTGGGGAGACATGTAGAATATCAAGTTGACAATCAATCACAATCGCTCACACAGAACAATCACAAAGGTTTTTACTTTTATATTAATTACTTTAAACCATGTACACCTTGTTTATTATATGTTAATTACTAATATGCCATAATTTTGTGATCAGGTTGGGGAAAGAAATTTGAAAGAATCAACATCATATCTGAACTCAGCCAATGCATTCTTGTCAGCATGTCTGACGTATGCTTTATACTTGATATGGAAAACAATATTTGCAATAACGTTTATAACCTTAGTTTTAGTGTGTGTACATAACAACCTTGAATAATTTGAATGATAGAGTTTTTTTTTCTGTTTGAGGAGAGTGGTCTAACCATGTTTAAAGTTAAACCCCAGATCTGGTCCATCTGCAGACATGTCTGGGATTTCTTAGTTTCTCAACAGTCTAGCCTGTCTAGCCTACTCTTTAGTTTAAGTTTACATGCTGACCGGCTTGATACATTACATAAAAGCTTTTTTATTTCAGTGGCTGTTAGACTGTTTGGGATCTGCTTATGGGGTAAAAAAAGAACACACTTTTTTTAAATCTACAACATTCTATGATTTCAGTTATTAGTTTATCTCCAAACCCAGATATTTAGGTGTAAATCCACCTCTAAAATTAAACAAAGGTAGTTAAAATCCAAATGAAAGTTCAGATGTAAGATGCAAGTAATCATATGCATTCACAGAACTTGACTTTATCTCCCACGTTTATTGCTATGTTATTGTGTTATAATACATGATAACTGTTGAGAGTTTTATATGTAGCCATAAATTTTCAGTCATTTTTTTTTTTTACAGTGTTTGTTTTCACCACTATCCAGAAACTCATTTTCTAATTCCTGATTTTATCTTCCCAACCTACTGGGGTAGAATTTCCATGTTAATAGACGGTTAATGTTCCAGTTGAGGGTCCTTTTTAATATAATGTCTGCATCTCTACCAACTGTATCATTTGTCCCTAAAGCTCTGAGAACAAGTGTGTTTGCCTAGCCGGAGTGCATGTTTGTTTACTCTGGAACCAGCCTCGGTTATTTGGTGATCTGGGTAAATATTTTCCTCCATCTTGTCTAGGAACAGAAGGGCACACACTGCTGGCTTCTGGCTGATTGATTAGCAGCAGTTTAGTGGAGCATTCACCACTCTTATCCTATCACGTCAGCGTGACGAAGGTTTCACTTGTTCCCTTACACCAGCTATGACTCATCTAATGAAAATACAGCACATGCCGCATGCTTATTTGGCCCCATGTTGTTCAGTTTTCAGCTGCTGTCTCTGTTGCTCTCTCATTAGTCCTGATGTACCCATAAGGTAGAACAGATGGAGTGGTGGTAAAATCCTGAGGAACATCGTTTACACTCGTCACCCTTACCCATAATCCAGTGACTTTTGAGCCATAAGAGAGAGAGAAATTGAAATTTGAGACAGGAACTGGCTTTAAGACAATGTTAGTCTGCAGGACCTGTGCCCTGACTGGCAAATAGGTTCATGTTTATTTATAGAGACCAAGGCTGTGCTGTCACTCATGTTGGTGCTATAAGCAGAAGCCGACCCTGCATCCATACACTTCCTCCTCCTGTTCAGTAAATAGCCCCATCTATGTGTGTTTCTCCCCTTGAGAGTTTTTGGCACTCGGCCATTTGTTGAACGGTCCAAAAATACAGACACATTTTGGTCTCATGTGTTTAGGCTAATCTATTAGTTTGGTTTAGAAGTTGTTTTATAAGACAGTCCAGCATGAACATCATAACATCATGCATGAACCTTTGCTTTTAGACCTATGATGAATGGAGCTCTTGTTTGACACAGTTGCTTTTAAAGTCATTGCATCAGTGTTTTCTCAGGGTGACACATCATAATGTCCATGTGGTAAACTATTCCTGGCCCAGCTCTTACTCCTGAAAACAGCCAATTATAGAAGGGACTCATGGCCTGAAATTAAAAATGTCTCACCTCAAGCTCATCATCTCCTTACGTCTATTGCAGAGTCTGCGTTCTTCTGTCCACACACGTGAATGTCCATGTGGAATGGCCAACAGAAACAGTATTTTGGTGGCTGGACGGGTCGTTTGTTTTAAAGTAAACTTCCTTCTCACTTGTGCTTTAAACGTCATATGATGGCTGCTTTGGTGAATGACGCAGCAGTTTTCTGCTACTATTACACGTTGTGTAATTAGGGCTTTAATAAGCAAACATTGGCTCGTTACCTCATATATATTTGTTTCTAACGTCATGGCGTAATTTAATTTAAATTAGTTTGTTAATCGTCACTGATGCGTCAGAGGAGTCATTTCCAGGTCGACAAAATCAGAGTCAACTCCTGGGCCACTGTTGCATTTACCCGTCGACATGCACTACCAGTTGTTGGGGCTGACGTTATTGCAGCTTTGAGAGAGAGCATTATGGCACTGTGGCTTTTCATTGCCAGCAGAGAAACCTGAAAGAGGAAAAAAGAAAGTAAAATGAAGGTGTTCTATAAGATATTAATTTAAGTTTCTGACTGACCCACTGGTTGTAAGTGGAGCAGTGGTCCATTACCTGCCTCGAGACACTTAGCTTTACCTTAGAGATGCTTCCACCTCAGTGGAATGTTTTAGGCCGAGGTGGAAACTGTGCAGAGATGCTAAATGTGTCTCAGAGAGAGGAGGAGAGAATAAAACGGCATCATGGGAAGAGCCAGCAAAGCCCAGAGTAAAGTAATGTTGCTGCTCAGCTGTTGGGTTCAGGGAACTACAGCTGCCCTGTCTGCGTGTCAGAGCTACTGCTTTTAGCAATGGCTAACTGAGTTTGTTTCTTCTTAACATACAATACTGGTGTGAATGAGAGCATACACTCAGACACTTAAGGGAATAACTAGGCTGTTTAACCTGAGAGTGTGTGTAAATACACACTACGTCAGACAGCAAAGGTATTTTATGTATGCATTACTGACAGCAGCTCTAGCATACAGGTCTGCTCAGAGACAATGATGTCTTTTTAAACAGGATGTGCCATTAGTTGTGATCCAGTCTAGAGAGTACCTAATGATTCTAAGCATGATGTAAGTCTGACATACACTTTTAATAGTGGTAACCTGTTGTTTTTTCCTCACGATCTCACTCTATGAAATAAAAACAAGTCTATTAACTAAACAGTTTTGAATAAGTTCTTTGTCTTCGATGTGCTAGCTGGTCACAGATATCTTTTCCAAGTAAATACTAAACAATAAAATATTAAAAAAGATAATGTCTTTGTCTAATGTCTAAACCAGACTATCAATAAGAGTCCATATTCAGTGGCAACACAGAAAGCAAGTCCTTTTTGAAATTTTAGGGTTTAAGTATTAAAGTATTTAAGTATTTCTCTAACTTGTACATGGTTGTGCTTTTGTAACATCTGAGTCATTTAGCCCTGAGCTGCAGTATACACACAGCTCAAAGTTAGTAGGACAACAGTACTGTCAGTTTTGCTGCATCATTGCTGCAGTGTTCCTTTTGTTCTGCCCATACTTTATTATAGCTCATGGAGCTGGTGATCCTCTATAGCAATGGTTATCATGTTCAGACCGTCTGTTCTATTTTAATGCACAAATATGTATTTTACTTTTTAGAGGCACTGTAATTTGAATGAATCTTATTGGATATAGAATGTAGAACCACTGCATTTTCACATATCTGACAGGACTGTGCCAGCTTTTAATTTGGGTGATAGTGGCAGAGCTGGTAATACATAGAAACATGGTGTACAACACTGTGTGGAGGCTGCAACGGTAGTTATTTTGTCAGGGTTACCCCGCGGCCATCTCATTTCTACAAATACGACCAGCATTGCTCTGGCTCCACCTGCACCCAGAGACGATGTGAGGTTGATTTGGAGGCACAGATCACCTTTTCCATTAACCTAAGTTCTGATTGTTTTCAGATATTTATGAGGGAGAGATGCGACCAATATTTTGCTGGAGTTGTGCCGTTCTGTCCACCAGCCCCTGCTGCAGAGCCCAAGAAAACCTATCATGTAAATTTTAGTTTGCAATATCACCCTGAGAATGGAGTCTTACTGGTTTTTCTCAACACTGTCCTAGTGAGAGTAAGCAAGGCAAAGTGTGCCTTGCTCTCGCTATCAAATAACTGCAGTTGCACTTTCCCCCTCTCTCTTCTTTATATCCCTGTGTCCCTCTTGTTTAATTATCTTAATTATAGAATCTAATGCCAGTGGCTGAAATAGCCAGGCTCTCTGTTTGCCAGTGGACATAAAGGTGGACCCAGCACTCTCTGTCCGCAATGTCGTAATGCTTAGGCAGGAAGGAAAAGGAAGAGATTCCAGCGCTGTCATCAGAACGGCCATAGTAATGCGTCCAAGCATAGTGCGATCAATCTACATTGTAAACACAGGTGCAGTTAAAGGGAGCTCTGAAAGACATCAGACCCCTGGCAGTAGACGAGACAGAGCCACTGTGTTTATGACTCCTTTAAAATTAAGTGTTATATATCTGTCGTGAGTTAAGTTGCTCTGAAGGTGCCAAATGTTTCTTTGATTTTCTCCAACAAGTGGTTTAGGTTGAGACTTTGATATTTAATATACTGCACAGGAGTCTGCTGTGTAAATAGGTGTAGAGCTAACAGTGGCTGAATTGTACATAACCTGTGGCAGAACAGGCTGACTGTGGTCTGACTGTACAAACAGCTTAAAAAAGTCTGTCCTATGTTCAAACTGTGAAACCTCCAAAGCAACCCCAGAGCCTCAGAGCAATTTTAGAAAGCTGCTGCTCAGGTTTTTTTTTACACTTGACATATGGACTTTTTGGATATTTTAGATCATATGAGATTTGTTTTTCTCACCACAGTGGTTTCTAATGCAAACTTTGTACAAATCAACCCTCTTTAGCCAATGTACCCACACCTCCGACTTAAACGCCTCCAACTGAAACACCTCCTTACCTCCCTGTGACCAACTGTATGGTTGTTTTTCTTTTTTCGGTGGTGAAATCGTTCTGCTCCAAATGTCTAACCTCTTTTGTGAACTTTCTATAGACATGCCCTGCAACAGAAAAAGGGACATTTATCAGATGAGTGCTGACATGAACAGAGGATAAAGTGTTCTTGAAACAAGGCCTGCTTTCACAATGACCAGTGACTCAACACTTTTTTAATGCCCTCCACAGCTTTGTAACTTGACTTAAGAAATAGTATTTATGACCATGATACGTGTTTAGAAATGTGTAGGAAATCATACACACCCGCTCGCATTATTCTATAACTTCTATAATGTTCTGTTGGCTATTTGATATAAGCAGAATGCTCTAAAGTATTGTGTTTTTTTTTAGTCTGCGTCCCTTAGGGGGCACCAGAAGTCACAAAACGAGGAAGTTTAGATTTCATGGACTGATGTTGGGCTAATTCTCTTTTGTCATACAAACAGTTTTGTTTCACCTGGACATATATTTGCTCTGACAATGGATGAACTGGCCTGTTGAACCACAGTCACTGACAATAAACTAAAATTGTGTTGTTAATTATACAGAGTTTAACCAGGAAGATGGGTTGCATTTCTAATGACAAACAGTGGAACAAAAGAAAACATTCAAGGTTCTTAAAGCCCTGGCATCCTTCTCATTTTCCTGATCAGAGCAGCACACATCCTTGATGGCGCTGTGTGCTGGTCCCTCTGGTAGCATCTCTGCCTTGCTCTCCTCCCACTGACTCCTCGAGTAGTTATTAATAGCATGTTGATGGGCCTGAACGAGGAAATCAGGTTGTCTTCCTGTAAATATTGCAGGATTCCCTTGAGTAAACCTGGAATGCCAGGGAGGGAGGATGCAGCAAAAAAATATTTTTAGCGCTCTTGCTAAAGGCTTGTTTGGATGAAGATTAATCCTTATGACTTTAAATCTGGGTGGAACTGGCGTCCGAGGCTCATTCCCTCCCAGTCTGTCAGTGTGACACAAGGTATGCACCTTCCCTGGCATGTTGCAAACTTTGTGTAAAGCCTTGGAGAGGAAAGCAACATTTTTATGTGAGTACATTGTTGTACTGGTAACAACAACTAAACAATTATGTTACTCTTAGACATAGGAACTAATCCTACAAATTGTGGGTTTAGTTCCTTGCACCTGACCTGACTTGTTAAGGTTCATTTTACCAGGAAGAAAAAAGTACCAGAAACTGGCTTGTGTATCGGGATACATAGGCATTTCTATTACAGGAACTTGGAACTAAATGGAAGAAACATTTGTTTTGTAACATAAGTTCAAAACTATGGGTTGAATCTTGTAGTGCCCACTTTATGGGTTTCTCTATAAATGTGGCAAAGGAATGATATACTTAGAGCCACGATCTTCCACTTTTGTACTGAGTGAATGAATGAATGAGTGAGAGAGAGAGGTTACACTGAGTTTTCAAGGTTATTTATTACTTTTGCTGTTGAAGCAGAAGTCTCTTGACCCTGTTGAACATAATGTTCCTTGGCTGCCATGATTTACACTTTACTAGATACATATTGGCTTCAGTGCCAATTAAATGATCTGCAGTGTTAATGTGAATGTTTGCTCTCAGGGGCAAAACCGTTTTTATCCGTTAGTGTTGGATCCTGAGGGTGGATCACAGAGATGGGTTTTTGACTGTTTGCCAACCACATGCTGATCCTGTTTCTGAGAACCCTGTGTTTTGTTCACTATAATTACATGTTTCAAGTGAAGACCCTTCAGAGACGGTGACATTTTTCAAAGACTAGTGCGTGTTCGTGTCTGTGTTCAAGCTTCATGCATTTGTTTGTTTGCATGAATCATGACAAAAACCTATTAAGAGTATAGAATATCCAGAACCTCTTGCACTAACCACATTATACCTGTTCTAAAAGGTCACGTAGTCATGGTTTTGAAATCCAACCCACCTCCTCATTGTGACCCTGTTCAGATCAGAAAAACACAACATATATATATACTGTAACATAACATGTATACTTTTCCAACACTGTAAGGGAAATGACCACTGCATTTAACCCATTTGTGAGACACAACAGTAATTTTCACCAGAGACACAGGAGGTGTAGGCTGTTCTTTTAGGTGTGTCCAGGGAGCAAAAGCATTTTTGCTGCTTGCTCAACACGTTCCTGCAGACACCAGGATTCAAACCGGCAATCCTTTAACCACTGTCTGAACAAATTTCTATATAATTGCTGTAATTTTCTGAAATACATTGTGAACATTACTAGATCTACCTGCTGTTATACTTTAGTACACACAATTGGTCCATGTCTTACCTCAGTTCTGGTTCTCCTTCAGGTCCAGTGGTCTACGTCCTGGACCTGGCTGACCGTCTCATCTCTAAGGCCGGTCCATTTGCAGCAGCCGGGATCATGGTGGGCTCCATCTACTGGACTGCTGTCACCTATGGGGCTGTGACTGTCATGCAGGTTGGACCCAGTGCTCACTGCTGAGAACTTTTGGTTTACTTTTAACTGGTCAGTGATGTAACTTCAAATGTACTTTGGTGACAAAACTGCAGTAAGGTGAAGGGTGTGATTACTCATTTTAAAACCTCTTTCTTTGAGTCATCACCTCAGACTCTGTTCTGTGCTGTCCAGGTGGTGGGCCATAAGGAGGGTCTGGACGTTATGGAGAGGGCTGACCCATTGTTCCTGCTCATTGGCTTACCCACAATCCCTGTCATGCTGATCCTTGGCAAGATGATCCGCTGGGAAGACTATGTTCTGCGTCTGTGGCGGAAGTACTCCAACAAACTGCAGATCCTCAACAGCATCTTTCCAGGTCTCTAAGGATTCAGTTATTGATTTAAATTAATTACTTTTGATTCATTTGTGGAAAATGTTCAATTTCCGTGCCTCACCTTCTGCAGAAGAATGTAAGCCATTTAATCAGACGTTCCATCTAAAGTAAACATGGTACGAACATCCTACAATAAATGTGGTTGTGATAATGATCAATCATGTGATCTTTATCACATGCTCCAATGTGCTCACCTTATTCGCATTACACAAATAAAAACAAATGAGTCAGTAGTTGGGCATTTGAACCAATGCAGGATGTCAAGTCAGGTCTGGAATGATGTTAAATTATGTTGAAATGTACAACCTAATTTTTGCCTGTGTGCAGGGATTGGCTGTCCTGTCCCTCGGATCCCAGCGGAGGCCAGCCCTCTGGCCGACCATGTATCAGCCACACGGATCCTGTGTGGCGCTCTGGTCTTTCCCACGATTGCCACCATTGTGGGGAAACTCATGTTCAGCAGTGTCAACTCCAACCTGCAGAGAACTATTCTGGTGAGAATGGTGCAGCACTTTGACTCCTGGGGGACAGTCTGGTAAACTGCTGAGTCAAACACACATTAGGGAACACTACAGTGCAGAGACAGCATATTATGGGCTCCACATACGTCCACAACAATGAGGTTCACACAAAGGTTGTGGAGTGAGATCTTACTTGCCAACAGCGAAACCACACAAATGTCAAACAGGTTTTAGAGTTCCCCCTGCTGGTTTACATGCTAACTACTTAAGACATTAGGATGTTTGTCTCAGAATCTCTTTCCGTCAATTTGAATGGTAGGTGAAGGCTAAATGAAAATACAGTGGTGACATTTGTATCCCCATTACATTTGGATCATTTTCTACATCAGTGTAAGGTTTGGATTTCTATTCAGACAAATAATAGAAGAGGTGAAATTAGCAGTTATGGTGTGATGTGATCAGCACAGATTCAGAAAACATCCATTAGCTGTTAAGACCTTCAAGAATTATTCCTTTCTTCTTCACCCACAGGGTGGCATTGCTTTTGTTGCCATCAAAGGAGCTTTCAAGGTGTACTTCAAACAGCAGCAATACATGAGACAAGCCCACCGCAAGATCCTCAACTTCCCTGAGCAGGAGGAAGCCTGAGGAGATGGAGCTGTCCTGAGATAGAGCAGCTGGAAGGACTGACTGACACAGACACACACAGACAAACTGGTAAGGATAGAGGAAGATGTGGAAGTGTTGGTCAGACCTGGAGCAGGAAGTGACTTGGAATCAGTGTGACCTTCATTTACTTCCCCGTCAAGGATTCCCACATCTGTTGCTGTCCATTTTAATCTCCTGATGCTTCTGATGGGTGAGGATGGATGACAACTGTGGACACACAGACACACACATGCTACATAAAGAATTTGTGTCGGGTGGATACGTGACTAATAACTATTGTAAACTTAACTGTATTTTAAAGAGAGAAAATATGGGGAATGTGTAATTATGAAGTTTTATATGAATAATAAATGATTGTTTTATATCATGGTTATTTTGAAAACTTTTGCCAATGTTGAGAGGGTTCATATTGAATAAGGAAAATATTTAGTGTAAGGAATGTATTAACCAATAAAGAATAAAACGTGTTTAACTGTTATGAATCATGATGCAGTACATTTACAGAATCATTTCTGAATTTCTGAAGATGCTGTGACTGTAACTGTATCCATCCTGACACTGTTTGCAAAATAGAAAAAAGCTAAAGGTACAGTAGGCAAGTTGGGTTTTTTTTCAGTAACAAAGCACTTGGTGCAGTACTCTTCCACCAGGAGGAGCTGTAAACACAGCCCTGTTCAGTTGTTTAGATCAGTGACTCCCAACCACTGTTCCACAGCACATTATCCAATTTCACTGATTTGGTCTAAAAGCTATTATTTGTTTATGGCAAATAATTTGTCTTTGTTTGTCTATGTGACCATAACAGGTCAAACAATTAAATTACAATAAAAAATAAATAAGACTGACTTAGAGTGGTGAAGATTGTGTGTCTTTCTTCAATTCCTGCAAGTCAGTACATCAGTGTGTGTGTTCAACTAAACATGCCGTGGTTTCACACTGATTATATAAGCTGGGAGTGAATTGAAAGAAGATGATCATTAAATTTCATTACATATACTTTTTTCTAATGACAGTATGTGCTATGGCTCAAAATGGTTGGGAAGTGCTGAATAAACCTGTGTGGTTTGTTGTCATTGTTTCGTATGAATCCTAAAACTAAAACAAACTCTTGTTTTGACTGATTGCTGCTTAACAAAGATAGAAATATCATGGAGTGTAAAACATGCCAGAACTAGTTATAATCTCAGCAGGACAGGTGTAGGTGACACTGTCCTGTCTGTGGTACTTGCATACTGGGGGTCCACTGATGAGTGAATCCGTACTCCTCCACAGCTCTGCTAATTGACATCACAAAAACAAAACCGATCCTTCAAGTTCAGCTTTAGGACTTAATATTAGACTTAATTGAAGTTAATTGACACAGAGGGCAGCATTGCTGCATTTTTACCCAGTACGATTTACTTCATTTGAGCTATTAGAAACAGCTTTCCTTTGTCTACGAGTCTGTTTGTTTTAGTGAACCTCCAGTGTACGCTATCTTTAAGTTTGAGCATTTGTTTTTCTTTCACGTACTTTTGCAGTGTTGACGTCTGTAGCTTTACCTCCTCTTCAGTGTGTATCAAAGCTCCGTCACTCTTTGCTGCACCTGCAGGATCGTTGGAGCTCCTGCAGCATGCTACCATCAAATGCTCTCCACCAGCTGTGGACGCTCAGTCCTACAAAACATTTTTTTTGCATCAAAAGGAAGACATTCAATCTTCTGGTTGCAGCTCTGAAATGTGAAACCTTGATTTCTGTCTTAGTTCTATTTAGGGTGACCCCATTCACCCGCACCGCACCCTCCCTGACTTCCCCGTGTCCCCTTCTTATGATGATTGGACATTGGCTTTGTGTGGACTACAGCTCAGGACAAACCTGGACATTGACAAGTTAAGGGGAGTCAGTGAAGCAGGCGGCACTTGTGTGCAAATTATAGACTCATCTTTACAAGAAGCCATGTTTTCTCAAGTTCTTTTAAAAAAAAGCCATTTGTTTGTTTTTAAGGCTTAAGACTCAGTTGTAAAGTCCAAAAAATGGGTTCTACCCTAAGTGTTATTTCAAGAATGGGTAAAGACAGACAGGAGAGTTGTTAAAAGGGTCTTAAAGGCTCAACAAAGTAATATTTAAGTCAAATTTAAACATTTTAATAACATTTACTTAGTAGCAATGTGAAGTTTGTGCATTAAATTCAACAAAATATTAGTAATGTAAAAAAAAAACATTTTAATGCAAATTAAACATCTGCATTAAAATTTTTTTTTTTACTCAGCTCACCAACCTGCAGTTTTAGGGATTCAATTTAATTTTGGACTTTTGCATGTTTTCTAAAAGCTCATGGTTTGGAAACAAATATTGAGAATGTAGACAGATGACATTACAATACTTTTTGTATTGCAGTCCCAGTCCTCATTTATCTGCTTCCTCCAGTCAGTAGCTGGACATCAATCGTACAGGACCTCCTGTGAAGAGGATTCCTTTTAACCCTCCCACGCATTTCAACTGTGCCTGCATCAGTACCACAGCCTTCCCTGCAAATCTACTGTAACTCTGCCAAAATAAGTGTGAACTCTGTGTGAACGCCGCCATCACTTCTGACTCGATGGTGTTTAATGGTAATCAGTTCTGTGAATAAATGTATTTTTTCAAATGCTGAAGTGTGAGTGTTTGTGTCCCTACGGAAACCACAGATGTTCATAACACCGGTGTAGTTTCTATTCTTCTTCCATGGCAGAATAACCCAGAAGAAAACACCCCTGAAGAGGGTACAAATGTGACACTTTGTCAGATATTCAATTTTTTGGTGAAGGACATGGAGTAGTTTCACTAAAGAGTAAAACTTCCAAATTGATAATTTTCTGTGGTGCAGGCTACATTTCTCTCACTGAACCAATCAGCCACATACTTTATTCACAGCAAAACTTCCATTTGTCATGATTGATTGACTGTGGTAAACACACAAGTTACACCAGTACTTCTCAAATAGTGGGGCTTCCAATGGAATATGGCACACTGGACATAAGTGTACCGCTACTGTAATGCTTGAATGATAACAAGCCTCCAGTCACTAGGTGGCAGCAACTCATACAGTGGTTTGTACAGAAGTTTTTTTCTTCTCTTTTGACTTAGTGGATGTTTGACTAAACTTGTACTTGTTGTCAAAGGTTGATGTTGTAAAATATACAATTAAATTTGTTAAATGTTGTCTGAGGCAGGGATTCTAACCCTTCATTGTCAGAAGCCTTCTCCCCTGAGCTATATTGCCACTGAGAATGTGAAGAAACCTTTACTGGTTGGTGAAACTACTCCATGCTCTTCAGTAGAAAACGACATGTTAACATGTGTATGTATTTGAGTATTTACCTTACTGTTGATGTAATACAAGCTCCATGTGTTCATTCCTAGTTTGGATGCCTTCAGTGAGAATCTACAATGTAAATAGTCATGAAAATGAAGAAAAAAAACATTAAATGAAGTGTCCAAACTCTTGACTGGTAGTGTGTATATTTATATGTATACACACACATACAAATACTTAGATATATTCACACACATACAGATATGCTTATGTATACATATACACATTCATATCTACACATACATACTGTATATGTATACATAAATACACATAAACTTAAGTGCCAAACAGTCTGGTACAAATTGATAAATGGAGGAACTCAATTTCAAAAAGCAAGTGCTCCTTTATTGGAAAATGTATGGCTTGATGATATTCTGCGTCATACGTGTTCTATACACACTCCATATCGCTGCAAAAATAAGTATGAGCAGCAATGGAGCAAAATTCGCATGTGGGTATTTTAGCACTCAATGTTTTTAATATTGGTTAATGACCTGCACTTTTATTTATGTGAAACACAGTATAAATAGTTCTGTATATATGTAGGAAATGGGAACCAGCTCTTCAAAAACATAACACTACCAGTGTTCACCATCAGGGTGGTGTCGAAGGAAGAACATATTAGCTTTTTGTTGGGTTATTTCAATCAAATCAGTGATGGTGTTGGAATGGTATTCATTAGTAATTCATTCATTCAAATGGAGTAACCTGCGTACTCAGTGGAGTACTTCCAGGTCTACAGCTAGGGTGTTATTTTGTGACAAAGTCCGAAAGTGAACCATAAGATCCATTTCTTGTACATGATCAATAGTTTAGCACCAAAGAACACGGTCATCAGAACCAGCAGCTCACTCTGCCTCACCAGAAATTTTTATTGCTTTGAGAAAGAAGTGCATTTACTGAGACAGAAACTCAGGCAACGTGATATTTACTACCGTAGACACCGGAAGGGTTGGAGTAAATATCACGTGTTACAGTTTCTTCTTCAAATCTATTATAAAAGCCAGTGCACAGTCCAGCAGTTGTCTTAAAAGGGTGAGAGTGAGGTTGGGGGAGATAAGGATTTTCACCCCTGACCAAACACAATCACCTCAGTGTGAAGACAGGGGAGTATTTAAAGGTGAAAGGCACAGGCTGCAGAAAAAACATGGGTAGAAGGTATTCCTCAGAGTGAAACAGAAAGAGGGCAAAGGTCAGGTGGAATGCTCATTGTCACATTCAAGTTTAAATAAAGAGATATGATTAATGATGGGAAGGACAGAGGTGAAGAGCTGGTGTTCTTTCTTTGGCAGTTCTGACTAATCTAACACCTATTTTTTGTGATAAAAAGAGCAGATAATCACAAATGTTGTTGTCTGCAGATACAACTAAATTTAATCCCAGAATTTTGAGATTATAATCGAGTCCTGACTTGACCTCCAAATAGAAATTTGTATATACAGCTAAATGCAAAATTCTTTAGGTGAGTTCATATACAATATATAATACCTGAAGTATTTTTATCCCAAGAAGTTAAAGCTGAAGGAGAGAACAGTACGTCTCCTTATAGAAGAAAATATATATTTCTATTTAAAATTAGATCAAATTATTCACTGTTAATGTGTTCATTCTGAGGTTTTTGTTCAGATTTCTCATTTTAATGACTTACTAAATCATCTGCGATAGTATGACCTTGTTCCAATAACACTACAGTACCTAGCTTGACCACAAGGGGCAGGATTAATTATTTTCATTAGCATTTCATTTTTTCAAATCAGAATATTAATAAAAAATTAAGTCAAATCTAAGTGGCCAAGTGAAAGGACTTCACTTGCCATGCAGTTGATCCTGATACTGACCAGTAGGGGGGCACCAGCATGAAAAAATAAAGAATTCTGAGAGATGATGACAAAAAAAAAAAAGCTAAGAGTGATGTGACACTAAATTGAATGCAACCCTGATCCTCTTTTAGAGAACTTGCTTAGACTCACTGGAGTGAGTTAATGATGACAGATGGGTAAAACTCATGTATATTTTAATGATTTACTAATAAAACTGAGAGAATCCAATCAGCTTGGAGGTTCCCCTGAGATGTTTGAAATACAAACTACTGTTAAATGCATTAAAACTATTTTTCCACAAACATTTGATGATCCATTTAAAAACAGCTTCTCAAAGGGTGCCAACATCTTAGGAGGATCCAAACAAGAACAAAAACAAAGTGGATTAAAACAACGGAGCACACACTAAAAAAACAAACAAACAAACCAAATATCTTGAATAAAAATGTCCTTTTGAGATAACATCATCGGGTAACTCAAAGTTAATATTTCAGCCACAGGAATAAAATAAAAACAAACCTTCAAATATAACTACTGCAGACACCCCATCTTCCACATTTACCTGCTCTTTGCTCTCAAAGCAGCTCCTCTCTGGAACATCCAAATAAAACGCCTCCTGCTGGGAGGATCCTGTAGTTACACTTTCTTCAAATGGTCTTCAGATTGTTTTCCCTCAACAACCATCTATGCAGCACTGTGATGCAGGGTGTGTTGTGTCTGCTCTCAGAGACAGAAGTGACCTCTAACCTCATTCTCACCTTCAACACAAGTGGTTTCTAATACACACATTTGTTTCCAAGCATCGGTTGCAGTGGATTCCAGCCTGCCACACATCTTCACACATGCACACGCACACAAGCACGCTCAAAACGTTCATGCAGGCTCGCTCTGGGTAGTCTTCTGGTGGGGGTCAGGGTGGGTAGGGAGGAGGGTGAGGTCTTCCAGCCCCCACCCTCGTGCTGCCCCTTGTCTTCTCCCCTTTGCCGACTGGCTCACAGTTTAGCAGCCATGAAGTTGATGTGAGGTTTGACCAATGGGAACAAAGGAAGACTCCTCTTAAATTCTGTCATGTCCTGAACCAATGTGGGCTGAGAGAAAAAGAGAAGAGGTTTAAGACTGTTTGTTCCTGACTAGTACGCAATATATCTTGCTTGTGGCCAAAAAAGGAACAAGAACAACACGTAGACAAGTACAGAACAATTGACTAATAACTACTGCTAACTATATTTAATGACTGCACAGACCACTGTAGTCTCCTCCTCCTATCTATGTTTGGACCTCGTTCTGAGAAGGAACACCATCCCTACCTCCCTTCACAGTGTCCATGTTTATTATGGTGTGGGAAACTTTTTCTGCCTGGAAATAAATTCTGAACTCAGCGTTGTCCCCTGGTGGTCTTGTATAGATCTGCTCTCAGATATTTGTTGCAGCTTCAGCTTACTTCTTGTGGTGTTTGAAATACAGAATCAGAGCACTGGTTAAAAATTGGCTGCTGACAGAATTTACATTCTCTCCTTTTATGTAAATGATCTCTAATTGTATCACCCAGTTTTAGAAACGTCCAGAAGTCAGTTGCTTTCCTGTCAAATGTATTCTTCTGGTGATAGACAGTAGTCTTACCTGTGGCAGGGAGGGAGCGGGGGCAAGGTTGACATCGTTCTGAGCAGGAAATTCTCCCACTGCTGGACCTGGTGGATATACTGACGTCAATGCTTAGCTCAAATGGAGTAAAAAATGATGCGGTCCAAAATGTGTCTACAAATACTCACAGGTGTCCATTTCTCTGGACAAGACGTGTACAGACACTTTGTGTCTTTTAGGTGCATCCACCATCAGACGTTCCTGCAAAGAGACAGACAGGAGGACAAAAGTTAAAAGGAAGGACATGTGTGATGTAACTTTAGTTGAATTTATTGTTTTTGCATCACAAGTAGCTGCTAGAAACACTGTTTGTTCGAAACTTTGTTGGAAATTGTGTCAAGGTTTTCCTGAATGAGTCTGGCATCAGCCTGACGGAGCTTTAGCTCCAAACTCAGACTTCATAAGCTCTTCTGAATGCATGATTACGTTAGGAGTGAAAGTTTGGCTCCTTTGCAGTCAGATGGCGCCAGCTCTGGGGACCACAAAATGTCTGATTTGATATTAGAAATGCATAAGGTTTATTCAGCATGTGGCCAGGAAAGGTTTCTGCTAGGCCGAGATAAAACCAATTCTTTCAGAACAGACGTGTGTCCATGTGGCTTTATCTGCCTCGAAAAAGAATGGCTGTCATTCATTACAGCGGCTGATACGCTGTGAGCGCCCTGTGTGTCAGTGTCACCTCCACTCTCCGTGGCTATGAATAGAAACAGCAGGCAAAGACTGGGACACACACACAGTCAGACAAATGTGAAGCTGCTAGTGATTCCGTCTATGCTGGACCAACATTGATCATCTCAGAAAATGGAGAATTATGCCGCCACTGCTGAGTAACAAGGATGTGAAGCCAGTGAGCCAGTCAGGGTAGTACTGAATTAATGACTTCACCAGTTCAGTCCACCATAGAGTTAGCTTAGCTTTGAACCACTTCTGTTTTCAATCAGGATAAGCCTAACAACAAACTGAGTAACTACAGAAATCATCTTAACAACAGTTATTTCTGCCCAATATTTAGTAATGTTGTATAGTCAATACAAAACAAATGAAAATAGTAAGGATCCAACCGACTGTAAACCTGGAGCCAGTTGTACTGTGTCCGTGGATTTCGCAAGTTAATCATCGACTGACAGACCAATCAGACGTTCCATGACCTTTAATGGTTTACCATTTACATAATTGACATAATTTCTGGGCCAATCCTACACTTTCTTCTGGCTTTTTTTGGTTCTTGTTTCACCAATACTTCTTTCAAGAGCAAAAAAAAAGCTCACAATTTTGATGATCCTGAAAAACTAGGTGTCTTTGAATCAAATGCCACACCAGTTTAAAAAAAAAAGATGAAATGAATTGAGTTTGTATGCCTCTTCATCACAGTCTCAACCTTCACGTTCAGTACTCACTCTGTAGAACTGAATTACGTTTTCTTTTGTCAAAGTCTTCAGATAAGCAACTTCAACGTTATCTGCAACACGAGGGAGAACATAAGTGTTAACATAATCAGTCGGAGCAAAGGCACTGCTGCAGAGTGAGCAGATGGCTCTGCCTGCACCTGAGACACAAAGATATTATAGTTTATGTGAAATAACATTTATTCAGCTGTTGTCCCTGTGGTTTTCAAAGGAATTTGACATTAAATGCATCAAGCTGTTTGCCCCTGGGTAGGATGCAAAATGCAACTGAACAGGTGAGAAGGAAATTAGAATATAAAGTTTTCCTCATGTCATTAAATTTCTGCATGTTAGAGCAGCCAATGAGTGGTCGTCTAAGAAGGAGGTAGGAAAAGACACAAGACAAAAATCGATCTTTGGATGATGTCTTGTCCTGCTTAATTTATTTTCTTTATTTTAGGACTCTTGACAAACCCATGTTAAAATGGTAATCTGTTCATTTACTTACTTATGACTCTTACACAAGATAAAATATTCTTGATGTGTCACATGTTCTTAACTGCTTTTGGCATTGAGACAACCATTTTCCACAACAGTAGTATCAGAAATCACCTTCTTTCCTCTTGGCAGCATTTCAGTGTTGCCATCACTCAGGGCTTTAGGCAGATTACCAGTGAATCAGGCCTATTACAGTCCATTACAGCACTCAGAGGAGTGCTGCTACAGAGAGGTGTGGTGCTGCTACAGATTACTTCACACTTTTATCAATACTAATTTGCAGGGCTCTAAGCAACACTGAGCTCACCTCTGAGACATTAAAGGACCTACATATGGATATATGCAAAAAATAGCTCCCCTTATAGCCAGGGACCTCAGAAAATGATTAAAAATATATATATGTATATACACACACGTGACAAAGGGGTAGGGGGTTGGGGTGGTGAAGAGGACAGAAGGGAAGCAACATCTCACCTCTGTCAAAGTTATACTGCTGAGAGATGATCTCTCCCCAGTACTTGGCGCACTCTGCCGACAGCTTCTTAGGTTTGTCCAGGCGGCGGATGGCGAGGGCCTGGATGTGTTTCTGGAAAGCTTCCTCACTCATCTCCTCCACAGCCTTCTCCATGGTACAAAGGAAAGCTTCCACGCGGCTCTCCAGGTAGTGGGGGGCCTTCTCTGACTGGATAATAAAGCGCAGTCCCTGAACTCCATTGGCCCGTCGAGGTCCACTGAACACTATGTAGCCTACAGGAGGTGGAAAAAAGAAGAGCAACAGATTGGTGATGGGGAACTTTAAACTTAAGACTCTTATTTAACTCCAGTAGTGCACATCAATTATAGCAATCAATTATATTATATTTTATATTTGTTTTTCTTATGGTTAGATGGAGGGGTTAATTTAATTAATTAATAGTATATTTCTTGGAAGCTGGAACAAATGAATTGGTTTTTAGTCATTTTTAATGGGGGAAATGCAATTGAGATATGAGCGGATCGACATACAAGTGCTGTTGAGAAACAGATTAAACTCGTCTTGAAGCCCCACTGTATCTATATCCATTTCTATAATTATCTATGTCCATATACAGTAGATTTACAGTATAATCCATTGAGGAGAAAGCATTATGTTAATTTGAGCTTTACAAAACAAACTGACTTGACTCCATCTAATTAGGCTGGACACCATATTTAAGCCTTACCCAGCTGTTCTTTGGTTCTTAGTGTGTTGAAGCAGGGCTCAGAGATGATCTGACAGAACAGCTCAAGCAGCATGTTGTCATGAGTGGCCTGCATGTCCGTCTGATAGTAGATCTCGATACCACAGTTGTTGTGCACGTCATTTCTTTGTTGATATACATACCAGCCACCTGATAGAAACAAGGATGACACCCCCCCAATATGTTAAAACACTTTACTGAAAATACAACAAATATAAAAATAAATGATTGAAGTAGGGTTAAAGGCAGCGCTGTGGGCCTGAACTCATTTGATTTTTATGTACTTCGACAAAGACATAAAAGAGAAGCATAAATATAATGTCCGAGTTTCTTACAGACACTCAGGACACAAAACACTTTACACTTGACCCCCCAACTCCCATTTATCTCCTACTTTTCAGGTCTTACTTTTTAACATAAAGCAGACTTAGGAATAGTCAGTAAATGACAGAGTAGGATTACATTAGCAAATCAGATCTTTCTGCTCAAAAATAGCTTCAACTCCAGTTGTTAGGAAGAGAGTTCAACATACACATCACTGCAAAACGTCATAGACCAGAAAGAAGACTATAGCAAGCCAAAGACAGGGTCATTGGCTTGCTAAATCTACAAAATAAAAAAATCAACGGTCACAACAGTCCAAACACAATATGTCGACAGAGAAAAAATATCAGCTACACATTTGTCATCATTGTTTTAAATTCTGAATAGGTAAGCAATAAAAGCCAACATCTAAACTCATCAGTAGGTCTAAGTTTTAGTATGGCAGACTGATCAGTGGCTATGAATGGCTATGTTTTATATGCAATTTTGTATATTGCTAAAAACCCAGCATCAAGTCTGGTTTTAAGACCAAAAGTAGAGGAGAGTAATATGGAGTTGTAAATTTCCCTTTAAGCCATTGGATGTTAGTTAATAGTGCAAGTGAACAGTGGGAAGGCGGAGACTTCCGGCTGAATCCCAACGTTCTGCGATAATCTGTTAGATGTGCCGTCCATTCAACCATAGCTAGAAAGTTCACGTTGAAGAGAAAAGCTGTTAATGCCGAGCAATGCCAGCCTCATTATATTCATGCTGACGGTGCATTGTGGAATTGTACTTAGGACGCAATGTGTGTTGTGCACAGCTTTAATACAAACTCTGTCAAATACTTCTCAGTGTGTTAAAAGTTTCACTACTTAGAAAACTGAAAATGAAACACATCAGCACTCTGACTTATCAAAGTACAAACATTAGCTTGTGGTTTTATTACTTCATTTGCAACTGTTCCACAGGACATATTGCCACTGGGAGATCACAGTGTATTGCTTTGAAAACGTCACACGTGATGAATGATAATTGCTAATCAAAATTACTATGAAAACCAATGGAAACCACAGAGAGAATTGATTACAACAGATACACAAGTTTTACACTATACAGAGAATTAACCTCTAAATTGTAAGTGACCGGAAGATACCCAGGCCGCAGCATCAGCCTCCTGACAAAGGTTTTTGTATCTAAATATAATCAATGCCTCATAAGATACTCTGGTTAATATAAGCTTTTATCTGTGCACGGAAGCAGCTCCGTCTCTCCTGATTACAAATAATTGGTCCCACTTTTGTCTGGTGGCTCTGCTCCAGAGAGAAACAGAAACACTTACAGCCACCAGAACAGCTCTGATGAGAACTGGAAACCTCCGCCAATCATACGCACTTGGTGCAGCAACAAATCCTTCATACGGATTACATTTTTTTAGTTTCAACAAACTTACTGTGTTTTGTGCCAAGTTTGACACAGTTTAGTGCAGACAGTTAAAGGCAAAGTGAATTATAGTCAAAATAAAAAACAGCCCAAGAAACAACGCAACTGAACAGATAAATTATATGGTGTACTAACTATAGAATGAAGGGATTTAATAGAAGTGATTAATAATGAATAACAAATAATGATTAATATTTTATATTATGTGGCCCTAAAAAGAGTTCTGTTATGTTCAAGTCTTAAAAAAAACATTAGGGAACAACAAGTAGGACATTTCTGCCTAAAACGAAAAGTGAGGACAGTAATCGTATGTGCCAGGCAGTCAATCATTCCTCAAGCCAATTTTCTGTTTACATCCTCAACATCTTCATTCTCCTGGGCTTCTGCTCTGTGTCTGACTGGCAGCTTGGAGCACATCCTGGAAAAATCCTCTGTGAAACACAGGAAGTCTCCAGGTGGCCCTGCACAGCTCTGGTTTTCCTCCACACATTGCTCAAGTTTCCTAATGTAATCAGAAAGGCAACACAGGTGCGCTGCTGCTGTGTGCATCTACATTCACCCTACTAAGGGTAGAGTGGCGACCAACATTTGCCCAGTGACGTCAGCTTTTCACTCAGGGATAGTCCTTCGGGTAGAAACGAAGAGTGATGAATTAAATTAACTCCCAATAAACGCAGGACGACAATGATGACGAAGGCAGGGGCTGTGGGCAAGAACCACTCAGAGTGGTCGCCATGGAAACAGGCATGACTAGCAGCTGATGAGTAAAAGTGATATAGCAATGGTGCGTATGGGCAGTGCTGAACCTACCATCTGGAATCTGAATCTCTCTGTAGCGAATGAGCTGGCTTGGAAGGAGGGGCTTGGTGTGAGCGTGTTCGATGAGTGTATCCTCCACCATTTGCATCATACCAAGAGCAGACTAGAGAGATTAGAGGAGAGCCAGAAAAAGTATTATATATAGAAAGAAATATATTTTAATCCAAACAACTTGACCATGACATTCAACTCTTTTAGAACTGCTATTCTAAGTCAGGAAAAACAAATGGTGATACTCAAAAGCTTTGGCACACTTTTTACATTTTAGAAACTAATTGCGGAAAGGCTAGGAGAGTGTGAAATTAAAGAGGATATGGATCTATGTAGTGATCCTGAAAAACCCTTTATAAAAGGCAGTACAAGATTCTCTGGTTAAAAATAGAAATCAATGTGAACGTACAGACAAAATTGGTTCTGTTCAGAAATCTGCATAAACAATATAGTAATATATCGTAAAACCACTTACAAAAACTTTGGACAAAGTCTGTTGCGTTAAAGCTGACTTGTGTATATGTGACATTCTGTACTTTGAGCAGGGTAAAGTGCAGTTCTATGACGCGATGACACAAAGTGCAGACTTAACTCTGTATGCCTCCCAGAGCTCAGTCAGCACCAGGAATTAGCTTGAGATGTGTTCAGCCTGTTGTAGCTGCCAGCAGAAACCAGACTGTAGCTGCTCTGTTTCAGCAATGCCCAGAGACTTTAGGTCTATGCAAAAATCTTTATAATGTTCAGCACCAAATTTCACTGCTTTAGCTATCCGTCTAAACTTCTCCACCTCTACAAAGAAATCCATAGATATAATATTCATTTTAAGCACAAGAACCACATGGGCTGGCAGTGCAAAGGTACATGGGTTGAGACTTTTGTGTCATTGGGCAATAAATAAAGTATTTAATATACCATGTCTTTCTTTCAACTGCTAAGTATTGTTGTCATACGTAAACTTGAATTTGGTCTAAATACTTTCTATTAAAAACACACAAAACTCCCAAGGCAACAGTATTATTTTTTTAAATAGTTTTTAAAAATGTTTGAAATATAGAAATATACTAGACAAAGAAGGCGAAAATGGGTAATGCTTTCAGGAGATGAAAAAAGTAGCAACTCCAAACAAACCTCCTTGGTGATGTTGCCATGGAGAAGTGCTTCAATATGTAACCGTGACAATAGCTGAGGTATGAAGGCCTTGAGGCGTGGGAGAGTTACATCTGGAATACAGATCACATTCAAAAGCAATTAATCAGGCAATCATTTTTCAATATTTCATTTAGTTTAGTTAGAATCATGTTCAGGATATTGATCAACAATACAGTAACAATTTAGATTATATTTTAAATCAGTACAACATTCAATTGGCCTGTTAAATCAGGTGCTGCAGAGGGGAAATTCTGTAGGAGAAGCAGGGAATCCTACTGAAAATCTAAACCTCACTTTAGCTACCTCTTTAGACTAAGCTTCATTTCCTTAGTTCTTTTGACAGTAGGAATTTTTTCATAGTTTTAGGAAACTTCATTTTAACCACAGCAGAAAAGCAGTAGACTACTTAGACCAGGACTGGCAGTTGGAGATGGAGACAATTAAAAGCAGCATCTCACCATCCAGAGCCTCGCGGAGCTCATCTTTGGTCCAAGCAACCTCAGTCATTAGTAGGCGGAGGTAGTACATGGCATGCTGATGAGGCTGTTCTGCCCTGAAGTTATTCAGAGACCTCATGTACTGCAGGGAGACAATGTGCCAGTGAACAAGAAAACATTTTCTAATATATTTTTAAACATATTGCAGAAACAGCATCAGTCACGTCACTCAACAATCAAGACCATATGCTGTCAGTACTTACTGCTTCCTTGATGATGTCAAAACGCTTCTCGTCGATCTCAAATGAGGCCATTTTCTCAATGATCTTCCTCAGCAGGATATGCTGTTTGTCATTGTAGCCTTTGACAGACAGCTGGAGATCATGGTGAAGGAAAACAAATGGGAAGAAAGAAAGATCAGCAGAGCTCACAGTGACTAATTCATTTGTATGTAATGTGTGTGAAACATCAGTCATTCATGGCCAAATCAGAAATGCAAGTAAAAGTTCCTACAAATGTCTTATATTCATCTAGTCTTATAACCCAAGTGTGGAGCAAAGTCATATTAACCAATTTTCTGGATGTACTTTTAATATTGATTTTTATTTTAAAAACCAGAGTACGTAATTGTTCAAGTAAGCCTCAGACCTAAGAGTGGATACAGCATTAAAGTAGGTCCATGAACTTTTCTTTGAAATGTAGTTAATTCCATATATTCCAATTGGACAGAACAAAAACAATGATTTTCAAAACTGTTGCCCACTGATTTCTGTTAATGCCTCTACACTAGTCATCTGGAACCAACCTACACAATGTAATTATTGCTGACACTGAAATAGCAGCCAGTCAACATTTTTATTGACAGAAAATGCATAAAAAGACAGCAAAGCACCTTAAAAGTATTAAGTACACAGTTGTTGAATTACAATTAGTCTTTGTGCCTGTGCAGAAGTTGGAAAGTACTACACACCTTAACACAATGACTGTAGCTGACTACAAGCTACAATATTGTACTCTTATTAACATAATTAAATATATTCCACATGGGCACCTGGGTCTTCTGAATGCTGTTAAAATATCTAGGCTGTCAAGTGATATTTTTCACAAGAAATGACAGCAGTATTAGCCATTTAGTCTATATTACAATATGTCTGAGTACAAACACAATCAAACAATCAAATATTAATCTGTGTAAGAACACTTCACTACAGCGGGATGTTTCAGTCCATTATCTGCAGCAGTGTGATGTATTGCCTTTTTTTTAGACAACAAACAAGTAGTTGATGATAGAGCTTGGCTTTGCATATTAGTGTTTTTCAAAATGGAAGTCAATGTTATTTATAGACTTCGCACTGCGACACAATTCACAGCCCATGGCACTTCATGATTAAGCCGAAACATCCAGCTACAATCAGCAACGCATTCAAACTGCCATCCCTTGCCCCTGGGCTCCCAGAGGTGATACCTGATAAAAGTAATCTTTTCTAACATCATTAACCTTGACAAGAGGCCAGCCTGCACACACCACTACTGCTGAGTCAAATCAGCTACACACACACACTCCATACTCACACAGCTACACAAAAAGACATTAAATAGCAGTGCAGAGGGACAGAGAGCAACCATGAATTTACAGGGAAAAGTCAGCCTTTCTTTTTTATTACAGGTTATTGGGCCACAGGCCAAAAGATGCAAAATTAGTAGGTTAGAAAAATTCTACAGGGGAAAAAAGACCACCACCACCACCACAAATCAATGTTATTCATCTGAAGGAGGTTCATTTGTTCTGCAAGATCAAAAAATGAAATCACACCACAGAAAACTAAGAAAATCTGTACTATATTTACACTAGGTCCTTACCCACTGAATGACTTGACTTTTATGAAGCCCTGCTGCGCGCCACAACAATCAAGTTTTTGTAGCCATCAGGTGCTTAGCTAAAGTTCCTTTTTATTAGGAAATTAAAGTGGAGTTAGCATAAGAACCCATTTTCATTTAGTTCTTAATTCTACTGCACTTCATTTTGAAAGTCAGCAGTGACTGACTGAAGTTTGTGGGAAATGTTTAATAATGACTTGTTTTTAAGAATAGAAATTTTCACTGAAAGGACACTCAAGGGTCGGCAAAATGGGAAACTTTAAGGGATTGGTAAGTTTTTTGCTGCATCCATCCCAGTCCTTCCTATACAGAGTTGGTACTATGTTCTGAGGCACTTTTCATCTGAAATTAAAGTGTAGTTTGCAGGGAAAACAGAAGCAAGCACAGATTCTTTTAGGTTACACATGACATGGAGAACTCTACATAATCAAAGTGGAATGCACAATACCAAACCATTTGCACACACTGTCAAGAGGCTCAAAGGCAAAGCAGACCATTCATTGCCGCCCAACTTCCCTGCAGTTCAAACAGCTTACTTACGAGGATGGCATTCATCCCTGAGGCTACGCCATACACCAACCCTGCCAGGCGGGCTGCATATGTATACTCTTTTAAATCATCCTTCAGTAACCTGAGTAACAAGTAGGTCATGTTGCAGTGCAGGGGATCTGTGTATAAGTAGCGACTAATGGAGGGAAAAAAAGAACAGAAAAGATTGGGCATAAGGTGTGGTAAACAAAAAGAGACAAGGACAAGTAGGAGAAGAATGATGAGAGTATGTATATGCAGCCTTGTGACCAGCTTGCTGCACAGCTACACTGACTTTATATAAAAAAAACACACTCCAGAAGACTTCTGCCCCTGCCTCATCTTATGAGTTAAACTCAAACCTTCATCTCCTACAACCCTAGTCTCAGAGAAGTTGACTTTGTATGTCTACCGCTGTGAGACAATAAGCTCTACAGTAAAAGGTTTAGTAGAAGATAATTGAGATGGGAAATGAGATTGATGAAGAATGACAGGTGTGATAAGGCTCCGTGCAGCCCCTTTCTCAGACCATTCTTGAATCCTTAGTTATTTTAATAGGTGTAGATGATGTTTACCGTTTTTTAATCTGGCCACAAAGGAAATTAGATGTGGCCTGGCTGAGCCACAGTAGCCCAGTCAGAGAACGATGATACATGGGCAATGGGAAGGTATTTTTGAATACTTACATACATCCCATAGACGGTACTTTGGAGGTCATAGTTCAAACCAGCTAGCTCGGCTGCATATGCATACTCGTTGAGGGAGTCCTTGAGGAGCTCCAGGTATAAATATGCCATGTTACAATGCAATGGGTCCACATATGCAAACGGGCTGTTGAGGAAACGGCATTTGTTAAACAAAGTATCGAAACAGAGCATAGAGTTGTTAGACTCAACATTTTCTTCTCGTAGGAAATGTCCTGTTGATGTTCAATTCTGGAGAAGGACAAAAACCAATTATTTGCTTAAGGGTTTAAAAATGAGGTCCTTGCCAGAATTCCACATGACACACATTGTTGGAATAACAAGTTAAACAAATTAATTATAACAATTAAGTTTAAGATTAGTTTCTCTTTACTCAACTAATTATAGTTATTACAATTTTACTCAGATTGGATACAGCTGTTAATCACCCAAAGGTCTGTCTAGAATCCAAAGACAACTGGGAAATGTATGCAATTAGACATGTTATGTTGTTTGATATGAATGTACAATTTTCACTCAGCCTGAGATCATCTAAATTTACTAAAACACTTTAAAACATGACAGTAAAACAGTGCTCTTTTCTGCCTTTTTCTAAATTAAGTCATAATTCTGACATTACATTAATTTAAAAAAAATAATACAATTGTTACTTATAAAGACAGCATCTTCATTTTACCACTGATTATTATTGTATTATGTATATATTGTATGTGTGCATGTAAGCAGGTGGTTTTAGATAATGAAAAATCAGAGCCGCCTAAATAGAAAATCTACGATCTACAACAGTTGACAGACTGTTGGTAAACTGGGCAGAACCAAGTACAAAGGTTTATAGACATTAACACACCTGAAGAACTCAAAGTTCAGGCAAGCCTTTGGGAGGAAAAACTTGTCATCATGTTTAAACCACACCTTGCTCATTGCAGTATCCTGGAAACACACAGACACAGCATTGGATTATTTGTATTATGTAATAATTTCCATAGAGCTCATAAAAGCTTCAGCCTCACTCATACTGTGTCTAATGTGCTGGTATGGTGTAATAGTAGCGCCAGAAAGATATATACTTCTTTACAACAAAAACACATGTATTTTTTAATTATCTAGTAAGCTCAACTGAACTACTTGTGTACGATTTCCTGCTTTATGTCTGCAGCCTAGTGTGATGAAGCATAACAACTCTTACCTTGATTAAAGTTGGGACTGAAGGAGAATCTTTCTCCAGAGGGTAAATTTCAAAGTTGGTTGGGATGAACTCGTTTTTCATAGGTAATTTAAATTTTCCATTGAGATCTGCATTTTGCCATTTCTGAAAAACAGGAAATGTAATAAGAACCCATCTACTCAGCAAAACAGAACAAGAGACAACCTGCATTGGGCCTAATCTAATTAGACTTCAGCAATTCACCTTAATGGTCTCTTCAGAGATGGCCTCCTGTTTGTACTGTGTACCGTACCATTCTTCAGTTTTATCCGTGTGCCCTTCATACGACTTTGAGACCACTGCAACTCTGGGGGGAAGAAAAAAAAACAACTAGATCACATTATGTGAAGTGAAATATCCCTGTCTGTCACAGCTGAGTAGATACTGTTGAAGACCACTCCATCATATGAAACACTGTGTTGCTATTTGCATCCTGTTTGGATCAAGATCATGTTGGTGACTCCCTGATGTGCCTCAAAATCAAACTGACAAATGTATTTTTAGAATTTCTGATTACAGCTTAGTATTCTAAATCTAAAGGATAAAAACAGAAATAAAAAAATAGACTGCAAACCAATACCAGTTTAAGTTGCCATGTCCTCCACAGGAGTAAAAGAATATTTCGACAATGTATATATGCACTGATGTTTATATGCACTTATTTTTGTGTATAATATGATCTTAGTACTTAATCATAACTTATTCAGTTTCTATCTCTTAATATAGACAAACAACCATCCACTCCAAAATCAACACTCAATTTAGATTCAACAGTTACCTGATCTTCCATGTTTTTGAATGAAAGAAGGAAAGGAAAGGAAAGTAGTATCCAGAGAAAACCCACAGCCACAGGACCAGGGGCGGGAGGTGGGGGCAAACTCCAATAAAGCCAATATTTATGCACTCATGAGCCTTGTTCTCACTTCCTTACCTGACATACTCTGGCCTCAGCTTGTCCAACACCATCTCAATTAGATCTGGTCTGAAATCTTCTAGAAGATACTCTGCTGCAAGGACCTCTTCAAGAGGGTAGTACTAAAAACACAGAGCAAAAAAATCCTGAGGAACAAGGCAAACACATTTATCAGTGAAACTATTAGTTTGTGTATGTGTCTGTGTTTAAGTGAGACATGGCGTTGACAAAAAGCTGTATGTACTATATGTGTCAGTGACTATTAGGCAGCCAAGTCAGTGAGACACTGCAACACCACAATGAAAAAGTCTAATTTGACCATGACATGGCAAATTCTGCAGTCTACCATTAGAGAGTCAGGAGAGGCACTTGGCAACCTGATGACGGCAGCGGGCACAGACGCACTAAGCTGCACCAAGTCTCTATGGAAACAACCTTTTCAGAGAGGAGAGACTTACGTGTAGTAAACCAGCCACTTTGGAGGTGTAGCCACGAGGTCGCTCTTTGTCCTTGAATCTGAAGGCCACTCTGTTCAAATCCTACAGGAGGAGAGATATGCTGTCGCAGGTTTATTTAAATTAACACGACACATTAAACTGACATTTCTAATCAAAATAAAATGAGAGACTTCACTGTGAAGGCACTCATTCTGATTTAACAACACAGAGCTCTTTAAATTACCTTGCACTCCTCGAACACCCATTCCTGGGGCCCTTCAGTACGTAGTTTCTGGATGTACTGGAACATGTGGAAGATGATGTCGTCCACATGCACTGCAGTGAGACACACACACACACACACACACACACGTCATTACTTTCATGTTAGTAGATTAAAGTTTTCTACTTTGCCAGAGATAGATGACCCTACTCAAAAACACAGACCAAACTGTATGCTTAAAAAAAAAAAGAATTGTAGAGTAAGTTGTACAACTCACAGAGGCCTTCCTCTGTTAAGTCAACGTTGATGATGAAGAACATAAATCCTCTGGCTCCTTCTTTTTGTCCTCCTACGAGCGTGTTCACCCAGCCTAAAAATGATCAGAATACTGTGATGAAAGTTTTCAGTACAATTTCATTGTACACATACAGCATCTTCCAAACCCTGATGTGATTGTTGGATTTAAATTGATTGTTTATCTCCATTCAAAATGTTTGCTACCTTTAGCTTTCAGCTCAGACAACAAACTTCCAGGTCCTTCATGGCCAATTAAATGACCCAGGTAATGTCCAGGATTAGACTTGTAGTACTTTTGTAGGTCTGGGATGGGAAAAGTCACATGAAGGTTCCTGATGTCTTTGATCGGCACCACCTTGTAGAATTGCTGCGGTACAGCACAAACATTTTTGAGGTTAGAAATGAGGTTATTTTTGATTCGATAATACTGTCAACTGATAATTACCACAAAAGACTGATTGGAAATATTAATACAATAACTTGTTAGTCAAACATCAGCACTTTACCACTCTAACACAAAGTGCACAGATTAAATAGCATTAAGTGGCTCACTCTGAGATGTTCTTCCTGGAAGGGATGTTCTGGGAATTCTGGGAGAGGCACATTCTTATTCTCCACTTCTCCGAAGAGCTTAACCACCATGGAGGTCAAGTCATCTAATGATTCTGTGTGCAAAAGTCAACTTTTTTACAAAAAAAAAACAAAAAAAAAAACAAAACAAAATACCAAGCTGAGAAACCATATAAACAGTTGGATCTGTTCACCTTTATAATAATTACCAGATCCTGTACTTTGATATTTTCTTGACAGCACAAAGAATTGTTCAACATTGTCAGTTACTATTTTAACTGTTGCAAGGATGTTTTTGAATGGAATGGATAAAGGCAGAAATCATTGGTTTTCTGTACTCATACCAAATAAATATTTGCACAATCTATTTAGCAGACATCTTAATTAAAATATACCAAATAAATATTTGCACATATGCACATATTGCATCTATTTAGCAGACATCTTAATTAAAAGGACCAACAACACATGGAGATGTTTGTTTTACCTAAATACTGAGTAGCATGTTTTTAAAAGTTAAAAACATAAAAAAAACATAAGGAACAAGAAGCTCTACCTCTGCCTAACACGCACAGTCCCATGAGGTTAGAGGAGTAATATGTGGAGTGAAATTGCAGGAGCTGCTGGCGGACATCAAGTCCATCCTGGGATGGTCTGGTCTCAAGGGTCAACTTATTGCCTGAGGAGAAAGAAATCAGAACAGACAATGTTTTTGTTTTAATATCAACATCATCAGCACAAAATATGTCACTTTGTCCAAGTGAGAAAAAACATCTAAATATGTTTATATGTAGTCTATTAGAGCAGATGATCACTGATCAACCTAAGGTGGTTAGAAAAATGACTCTTCAAATAAATATATAAAACCCAGGAAAACATTTTTTTTGTCAAAGGCTATATTTACAACTACAGTAACAGACTATTGATTATCACATGATCTGTGAACATTCTGTAATGAAAAACATCCTTAAATACAATTCTAATCTGCAGCTACTCTGAAGGTAGGACAAGGGTCACTGGTCAATGCTTTGTAAGAAGAAATAAAATCCAGCAAAGATCATTGGCCGGCTGAGAGCACGTGACCAAAAGGCCCGTCTGATCCTCTCATATTTTTAACTAGAATAAAGACTAAACAGAACAATTCGAGACTGCCATCAGCTGGCAATTTTAGAGCATTTCCAGTCAAGCCAGAATAATCCTAGACTTTTCCTGCAATGGTAACAGGGTTGACACACTGAGCCCGACATAAAAAGCACAGAGAGATATGTAAATGTTCATCCAAATGCTTTAGAAAACCATGTCACAGTAAAATACACCCAATTTAATTGTTAAAAAATATATTTTAATTAACAAAGGAGTTTACTTTTGTCATGTCATCTTCTGACAAAAAGTGAAATGTGTATAAAAATTAATTTAATTTAAAATCAGCTTTAGCTGGTGACTCTAAGTAGGGCAAAGAATGTGAAAACTGCAAATGTTTCTACCTGTTCCAAATTTACTGAAGGGGTGGTTAGGGTTGCCAGTTGCCTTTTCCAACTGAAAGAGTCTCCAGGCATCATTCATGAGGTTTTTCTCGTGCTCCGAGTCCACAGCATTCACCTCCCGATCCTTACAACTCTCATCAAACAAGGGGCAAAGGAAAAACTGAGCAAACCTAATGAGATAAGAAGACAACAACAAAGGAATAATCTTTAAACAATATAGGTGTGTTTAAAATCACCCTTTATATTTAAAGGTGCACGTTACACAACCATTTGTCAGTTAGCACTCTCAAAAAACATTTGTATGAGTACAAAAGTGTGAGCTTCTGCCATGTAAAGTGCATGTTGATTGAATTTAAATTTTTAAAGTAATCAGTCAGACAAGGAGCAAAATTGTGCCCTTCATTCATAATCATAAAGGCTTCTATTTTTTTTATCATAACACGGCTAAAACTCCCTGTTCTCTAGTGAGGCCTGTGAAACACTAAATATGTTATTCTACAAGGTTAGGCTTAAGCACTAAGTGGGGAGCAGCTGGGTATTTGTTTAAAAACAAGCATCACGTTGCAGTTCTAATAATGCAGTTCTGCAACAACTGGGGCTTTAATGCAACTGCACCATGGTTCTTCAGGTGCTACCATTCTTAATAATTATAACAAAAAAACATAATTTATCTGAAAACAAAAATAATTATTTTTTTTAAATGTTACATTATGACAGTAGTAAGGATATTGCAGAAATAGTGAGGCCAACTAATGACATGTTCTCAAGACACAATGTTCTTTTATCAAAGAGGCAGCGTCATCAATATTTCAGCAGACTCTGCAGTGTCCCTTCTCACCACTAAGGTCCAGATGGCCTTCACAATTCTCTTGCACAGGAAACAATTAGCTGATGCTATATAACAGTTAGGGTCATCATTCATTTCTAAGTAGGTAAGTTAATCCCCCACGCATTCAAACTGAAAGACTGCTGACATACATTTGATAAAGGTAGCCTAGTAGTGCAATTGTGGGAACATAGGTTTGACAACAAACTGGATTGTCTCCTGGATTCCTGTGGAAAGAGCTTTATACTACGTATCATCCTACCGGACTTGTCAGCATCCAGGCTAACAGCATTTAGTCTGCATTATGTTAAGAATGATAAAAGCTATAGAATTGAGCATTAACTAAACTATCAGGATTTGTAGTTTTATTAAAATTTCACCTTTACGCCAATAATTGGATAAGAGCAGCTATACACAATGAATGATTAAAGGGATAACTAAATGACGATCACTTACTTAAACACTACCTGTCTGCAGCTAGAGAATACTTTACAAGGACACGACATCTTAAAGTGACTTAATACATGGTCATTTTTTTAATAATCATTTTTTTGGGGATGCAAAGCTTTTTCTAATACACAAATGCGCCAACCAAGGAGAAACAATACTATCCTAAATACCAATTTAATGTGATCTGTGACGGGTAATGTTACTATGGGAGGTAAAGGGATCTTGATTAAAAAAATACAGATCAGTCCAGATTACCCATTTGTCCAGTAGTTTGCAAAACAATAAAAACAACATCCATTTTTTTTAACCATAAACAGGACATACCTGTCTAATGCTCCTTCCAAGTGCTCATGGGAAACATCAAAGTAGAAGTTGGTATGCTCTCCACTAGTAAAGGCATTGGAGCTCCCTGCATGCTCGCTGAGAAACTGGCTATATTCATTCTCTTTGGGATACTTCTTTGTTCCCAGGAACAGCATGTGCTCACAGAAATGTGCCAGGCCCGATATATTCACTGGGTCCGATAAAGAACCTGTTAAGTTAACAAAAACATTTTTTATGTCTTTTAATGTTGGAGGCAAAGTGTAAAAATGTCAAATGTAAAAAATAGGCAGAAACCATTATGACATTTTGTAAAGATGTAGAAAAACATTCCTAAAATTATATATATTTTACTGTTCTGTTCTTTTATCAGACAACAAATTAAAAATAGTGGTAATTAATAAGAGAACTTGTAAAAAGGGCTCAACTTGTGGGTTACAATTGGTTCACTGCTGTCTGCTGTTACATAAATGTTTTAAGTAGTTACCCAAGAGTAAAAAACAAACAAACTGGCAGACACTTACCAATGTGTACATCTAAAGCAGCAGAGGATTTGTCTGTTGTTGGGTCACTAATGAGCATGGCCTTCAAGCCATTGGCAAACTCCAGGCCTCTGTAAACCCGTTTGTCTTCCGGAGAACGTATTATTTCAGTAACCACCCTATTTACGGCTGTGTCGTTCATTCTGAGTGGCAAGGATGACAACAGCCTGCAGTGGAGAGAAAAACAGAGGCATATGGAGACATAATAAAAAATGACAATATAATTTTAATGCTTTAAGAGCTGTTAATTAAGAGTTTTTGAATAACACACACACACTGCTCAAAGCTGCCCACTGTTTACTTTGGTGATGGGTTAAAAGCAGAGGTCACATTTACTTGTGTAGTGGTGTGCTGTGTCACAATGACAAGTAGTTTTTTCTACTTTCTTAATGAACTTCGGCTAACACTTGAATATTCTGTGATAAGGAAAACACACCCATAATTTCCTCCTCAATCTCAAACATGTCGATGTCACAAATATTGTCCATAATATTATGAAGTACAAACCACTGACAACACACAGTTGTACAAGTGTGTGTTGTCTGTTTCATAATTGTTTCGTTTAAGACAATTTGTAAATTTTCGATGGCCAATAAAAATCAATACTTATTACAACCTTACATATCCATATTACATATAGCCGTTAACGTCGTTATTGGACCTTTCAGTTGAATGTTAAATTCAACTCAATATTTTCATAAAATTGCATTTTGATAAAATGTAAATCGTTGGAACACGTTTACTGCTTAAAGGAGCGATAAAACCAGTGTAAATGACTGTTTAAAAGCACTTAATCTTTTTAATACTTAATGCATATTGCACTTTGCATTGCTGGGAGTAATTTATATTATTCACTAAATTAGAGTAAACGAACGCAGCTGAACATAAGCTACTACTGCGGCTAAATTGAAGACAAATTAATCCTACTCACAGGAGGAAGATGAGCTTCAACTCTCGGAATCTGTAGGAAAGGCCACAAAAAAGACACTGACCATTAAAGTAGCTCGTTTACTTCTTTTTACGTGTTCACATTTAATAAAATGCTGTTATTCTTAACAGAACATGCACCCGCGTGTTAACTGACATAGCTAACAAGGCTAATGTTAGCTTGTTAAAGCCGGTTGGCTTTTATGGCTCGAGTTAAGGTTAGATTGCTGGCTAAGCTAGTTAGCTACATGACGCGAAAATTACCTAGCTATTTTAATTTAGTAAAAAATTAAAACGTGTTATGGCTCACCTACGATGTTTTACAAAACAGAAAGTGGTGCTTCCTGAACGAAGATACCTCTTACTCTGAGCTGCCCGGTTAATACACTTAAACATATTTAACACCCATGAAAAACAAACCTGCATTTTTTTTTACAACGCCATCTTAGAAAAGACACGACCAATCAATCCCGCATTGTTCGTTACTTAACGCACATAGTTATTAATTGTTCTGTGCACCAATGTGCTAATATATTTTTATCACATGATTGTATTTCATTATAGATATGCTTGTAATGTCAATAGGTGACATATAATAAAGCAGTACGGTTGTTTTAAACATTCAATCGTGTCATCGATTCGGTCATTGATTGATTAGGCTGCGTAAGCCTACTTAGGTTTTAACGTCCATAAAGGTGTAATGTCAATTTGTTTATTTAACTTTTTTTTTAATGTCGTACTTGCGCATTTGCTTGGTTGTCGAAAGGAAACACACGACATAAATTCTATTTTTTATCCATCTTTATATAAAGTGTAAAGATTGTATATTAATTGTATTATAATGTTTATATGTAGTTTTTAAAATAGTCACTAGATGGTAGCAGAAGTCTATAAAAACAGACCAGTCACAAGTAAAAGAATAATTTAGTCAAAACAACAAACAAACTTACAAACTTATCTTTATTTGTCATTTGTGACATAGCACAGCACAGCACACCATGCACAATGAAATTTAACCTCTGCATTTAACCCATCACCAAGTGAACAGTGGACAAGGTTGTCGTTTGGGTTCTATGACTGTTCAGCCTCCCATCTTGTATTTCTCTATGGGGAAGATTATTAAAATTGTAACCTTTCAGCTCTGGGCAATCCACACGGACCACTGGCCTTTTTGATCAATATTTTCTATATGTTTAATTACCTCCATTGAATTTCTTTCTCCTGTGCCACGTGATTTGAATTTAACCTACTGGTATTACTTTCAATTCCTGTAGTGGTGACATTAACCCCATCAAAAAAATAAACAAATAAAATAATAAATCTATTATTCCAGTGGACTCACCACCCGCAGGAAGGTTTGGGGGGTTGTTATGGTGCAATGTGATTTGGGTGGCGACTGCTGCCCCCGCGACCCGGTAACGGATAAGCGGATGAAAATGGATGGATGGATAAATCTATTAATCTGCTTCACGCCTGTTTGTATATGCACACGCCGCGGTTACGCCAGGGTAAACTACCCATCGCTCCGCCTCTTCGTAATGACTACAAACTATCGAAGAGTTTCAGATACATGTAAGAGACACCGGCGAGACAGCAGCACAATGGAGGAATCTAACTGCATAACAAACCAGAAAACTGTCGTTGCAGTTGTGGGCGGTGGTTTGGTAAGAAATTAAGGGAACATTTTACCATATCATAAAGTTAACAGTATTTTCTAACTTTACCAAAAAAAAAGTAGATTTTTTAAAAATAGATATTTTTTCACATTCAAACAATTTCAGGAGGAAAAAAAACACATTGCAAGATAATATAATATATCTTAACGTAGTGTTAGAAATTCAAACAAAGTATTGAAAATGAATATATTTTGTTTGTTTTCCTGCACGAAACAGGTCGGTTCCCTCAACGCCTGCTTCTTTGCCAAAAGAGGTTTCCATGTGGAAGTCTTTGAAAGTAGAGGAGGTAAGTAATGTACATATACAAGTCAAAATGATGATGTACAAACACATAACAACAGTTTTTTTTAATGTCCAGTAAAATTATTCAATATCGTCTGATTTTGCCTAGATATTCGCTGTGCCAAAAAAGTGAAGGGGAGAAGCATCAACCTTGCATTGTCCCATAGAGGGCGGCAAGCATTAAAGCATGTTGGAATAGAAGAAAAGGTATACTTTTTATCAGTTGGTGCTTTTGTTGGGGTATGCTGGTTAGCAAAAGAAAATCCTTGTTATGTACTTTATGCCTTTTTCCCACCAAATGAGCAACTACTTTAGTTGTCACCCTCATAATGTCTTGAAAATTAAATATGCAATCAACTTTTTTTTTCTCAGATTGTCTCCAAAGGAATTCCCATGCATGCAAGAATGATCCATTCACTGAGTGGGAAACAGACCCCAATTCCTTATGGCAAGAAAGGCCAGGTAAGGTGCTACTCACATAATGTGAACAAATGCTGATTTAAATGAATAGTTTGTGTAAAGAAAAAGTGTTGTAAATACGTTGTAATATAATATATGTAATGCTCTTTCCGCAGTATATCCTCTCTATAGACAGAGCAAATTTGAACAAAGAGCTTCTAACAGGTAAAGGATCCCTGTAATGATGTGCAGCTGTCAATACCCAGAGCTTTTGTACGGATTGTAATATGACCTGTGACCTGCTCATCAGATGACACTAATTTATCCTGTCAGCTTTGATTACATGAGACAATTGAACATTTGAGTTTAGACTTTGCATACAATTGATCACTGATTACTGATCAAAAACACATTACATACTGTACATACTGTACATTGATATAAATGACACTAGGAGTGGGCAGTATGGACCACAGTGGGTTGAACAACGTGCCACAGTTTCAGGCAGAGTAGTTTAGAACTTTGTTCTGCACTGATTTCAAGGCTCAATATGAGCCTGTGAGTAATCTACAAAAGAAAGAGTCTGTCCCCTTAAACAGCTGCTGATAGGGGTTTGTTTAAGATGTTACCTCTTTTAGGTTTAACCTGTTTCAGTCCCAAAGTTACTTTGGTCATAGTTCTCTTCATTTTGCCCCCCGTCTGTGTCCTTACTCAGTTATATTAGAATATGTACTTTGTCATAAAACTTACATGTATTTGAAATGCTATAAATCTCAGGATTTCATCCTGCTTGCTACTGTGACATGAGGTATTTTTGTGACACTGTACTCCCACAGTGGCCGAGGCATATCCAAATACAAAGCTGAACTTTGACCACAAACTGCAGGACTGGAGCCCAGAAACAGGGCAAATGACCTTCATCAGGTAAATAATTACAGGTCTTACAAATATGGACCCTCATAAACATTAACATGTAGACAATGGGGGTCGAGTAGTGCAGTTGGCTCAGTTTTTATCTTTTAAAATGTATTGGTTCTGTTGCCTCTGTCTTCCTGCATGTCAACACACACACAGCCTTGTACACATTAACTACCACAGACTCAGGACAGTGAAAATCTGCCATGTGATGAGGGTCTTTGCAGCAAACACAGGCCGCCAGTGGAGGCGCCATTAGCTTTGTGGTTGCAACTCACAGGCTGCCACATGGGAGACAAATCAAACCCAGGACTCTCTGCTCTCTGTGTTAACCACTACACTATGGGACCAGTAAAATATCTATCCATTGTTTTAAAGAAATTACATTAAGGATTTCACTTGTTAAACACATGTCCAATTTTATTTAGTTTATTCAATAAATGAAGATAAAAGCAGCAAATGTGTGAATTTTCCAGGGCTGATGGAGCCAAGGATCAAATCGAGGCGGACCTCATCGTAGGCTGTGATGGAGCTTTCTCAGCCGTTCGCAAGCAGTTCCTGCGTCGCAGCCGCTTCAACTACAGCCAGACATACATCCCTGACGGCTACATGGAGCTCACCATGCCACCTGTGAATGGAGAGGTCAGAATGAAAGCATTTCTCTGTGTTCTGAAGAGATCCCCGATGCATTTGCACTATTACTAGGAGAGATGGTTCCTATAGGTGTAGGCTCAGGCCGACCTCAGCCCATAATTTTAATGTAATAAGTGCAGCTGTCTCGTCCAGGTGAACAGAAAATTCTTGTGTGCTGTACGGAGTACACACAGTTTCTATGTGCTGTCCTGTGTGTATGTGCTCACCTCACACTGCAGTTATAGAGAGTTGTCTTTTCTCATCATTCTAACTTCCATTTATTTGCAGTTTGCCATGGAGCCTAACTATCTCCACATCTGGCCACGAAATGCCTTCATGATGATTTCCCTGCCAAACCTGGTCAGTATGGCAGCTTTTGACCACTGTGTGTACCAATGACCAGAAACCAGCACCATCGTGCATCCTTATAGGCTTTTTGTTTTTATTTGTATTTCCTTTCTCACTGCAGGACAAGACATTTACCTGTACACTCTTCATGCCTTTTGAGAATTTTGAAAAAATCACCACGGGTGATGAAGTCATTGAGTTTTTCCAGGAATACTTCCCTGATGCCACACCGCTAATAGGCGTGTAAGTGGAGCCATTTCCTACCTTTTTTATCCCGTCATTATCCAAATGTTCACTCCAGCAGCTTTCACAGCAGTGACCTGTGAATTGGAAAATTCTGAGTGCCAGACTGACATGGTTTGTTGCAGTCACATTTTTCTTAATTAAAAATGAAATAGGCATGTGTACCATCGGCCAATCATGATCTGGTAAATTGCTTCAAGCTTTTAATGACCACTTTTTGACTTAAACAAATAGTAGTAAAGACCTGAGTCTGGTGATCAAAATGGTGTTTTGTCAAAGTGAAGTCATCGAGTTTTGTTTGTCATGGTGTTTTTCTCCATTTGTGCGTGACAGCGATGCCCTCAAGAGGGACTTTTTCTGCTTGCCTGCACAGGCCATGGTGTCTGTTAAGTGTTCTCCATATCACATTGGTGATAAGTGCGTCCTCATGGGTGATGCAGCTCATGCCGTGGTGCCATTCTACGGGCAGGGAATGAATGCCGTAAGTACTTCTAATCTGAAGTAAAAAAAGAAAAATGCACAAAATTAAACATAAAGAAGGAAACTCATGAAAGCTTTTGCAGGGCTTTGAGGACTGCATTGTGTTTGATGAGATAATGAATGAGTTCAGTGAGGATCTGGGTGAGTATTCCTCAAGTTAACATTGCAGCAGCAGAGATGCTGTAAACTAAAGTGAACTAAAGTCCTTCTGTATCTGGACAGGTGCGGTTCTGCCTGAGTACAGTAGAGTTCGAGTTCCAGACGACCAAGCCATCGCTGACCTGGCCATGTACAATTACATCGAAGTAAGGCACACTAATATGTAACATACATATTAACCATGTCGTAGAAGAATTAAAGGCACTTTAACACCCTGTACGACCTTGTTAAAAATACTTGAAACGGAACGGCAGTTTTATATATAGTAGGTGGCAAATCTGTGTGAGTAATAGAGTGACATGCAGTGTGAAAGTGAACAGAAAGTGAGCAGAGCTTTAACACCGATAGTGCATTCAATTGAAAAGGAATATAACCAATTACAGAGAGGAGACTCTAGTCAGTGTATTCAGTGCTCAGGCCTGTCTTTAGGTGTTTCAGGTTGACAGTTACTCTATTTCCTGTGTGTATGTGTGTGTGTGTGTGTGTGTACTCTCCCACATTCCAAACACATTCAGGATTAGTTTAACTGGACACTAACTGGTTGCTTGTACATGTGTTAGTGTGAATTGAATTGAATGTGACTGCACACCTGTGATGGGTGGACAGTAGTGACTGTTTGTTTAGGTGCTGTGTGTCCAGCACACTTGACTTCTGCTCAGCAAAGCCGACGTCTGCACATTAAAATTCATGCAGGCTCACAACCAGCTATTGATGTTTCCCATTGCCAATACCTTTATTGATGGATTAAATCTTTTCTACTGTAGAGATGACACAGAGTATTATTTACCTAAGCAGCTGACACTGTGTGATTAATGTTTCGTCATCACAATACTTTTGCTTTCTCTTGTCGTAGATGCGAGCACACGTCAACTCCAAATGGTTCCTCTTCAGAAAACACGTTGATAACTTTCTTCACATGTTAATGCCAAACACTATAGTTCCCCTGTACACAATGGTAAGACTTGTTTACACCACTATTACTGTCTCATTGTTTTATATTCACCTCTCAGTCTCTAACCTGTGACTTTTGTTCTCTTTCTTTCAAGGTCACATTCACAAGAACAAGGTACCACAAAGCCGTGGAGCACTGGCAGTGGCAAAACAAAGTAAGGCTTGTTTTTCTTGCAAACATTTTGTTTTCAGGAGATGTTTAAACACCTTCGAGGCTCCTGTTATGACCCATTTAGCCTTGAGTAACATTTGACCGTCTGAAAGGCTCAGCAGCAATGCTCTTCCCAGTATTTTCTTGCAAATGGTTTAAACCTCAAGAGGATTTCTGGGTGGAAAACAACCTACAACCACCATGAAGGTCCTGAAGTATTTTTTATTCAATTACAACACAGTAGACAGAAATCTGTCATATTCTATAGTGTAAAAATAAAATTCATACATAATGTTTTTTTCCCAAGGGGAGGAGGGATTTCTTAGCTGGTTTCCCATAATTACCTGTAACCATGGTTACTTTGTAGTTAATGTTACAGGGAAAAAAAGAAAATAGGAATTACTCATAAGTATTCTGTATACGGGTGGAAAAAATGCCCAACATTTTACAAAGGGCTGCCGACCCAGACACTAGACCTGGAAGTAAAACTAGTAGTCATGTCATGTTAAAAAAAATGATTAAAAATATACAGAAACTTTTCATAATAGCTGTGGATTGGACGGAATTTCAAAAAGCTATACGTTAGGCAAAAAAAAAAAAAAAACAACAACAAAAAAAAAACAATAGAAAAGCTACAGTTACTGTTTTACTAATTACTACAGGGTTGCTTAAAGAAAGGCAGTTAAATTTAGCTATGAAATACACAATCATTTGTACAAATGTGACAAAAGGCTGCTCAAATATTTCTTAATGTTAGACCACAAAGAATGTAAGGCTTTTCCAGCAAGTAATAAACCTAAAAGTCAACTTACCAGAAATACCCCCCCAAAAAACAAAACAAAACACAAAAAAGGCAAATGCAGACCTGTGTAATAATATGACAAACATGTTCTTTGCGGAGGAAGGATAACGACGGCGCTCGCTCATATTTACTGACTTCTTTGAAGTCATGAGAAACATATAAACACCAGAAGCCCTCACCGCTTTAACAATGCATGTTCCAGGTGATAAACCAAGTCCTGATGCTCACAGCTGTAGGAGCTACTGTAGCGGGCTCATGTCTGCTTATCAAACGCCGCACTGACGTCATTAAGATGGGCCTGTCAGCTGAGGAGATGTGGAACAGGATTTTAGCCCTGAAGACCTTCTGAACACCTGACTTAAATGATATGACAAACAAGTGTGAAGTCTGGAATAAACCACTCTTGACAAACAGGTTTTCTTAGGAATGGAATGGAAATGGAATAAATAGTTTACACCTTATTAATTTCTTAATATTTTTAGTCACTCATGAGTTTATTTTATGTCTTAATCTTATAAATGAGGGATAATAATTTGTTTAAACTTCAAAAATAAAGTTCATGCAAAGATGCTATATTGGTTTTCTTATGTCATTTTTTGTGTTGTTGTTTATAAATCCTTACAGCTATTCTAAAAAGAAAGGGGGACAAACGGGTCTGCTGTCATGAGCCTACGGTATGGGGGGCCCCAGAAGTGGGCCCTCATTAAAATATAGAGAAGGGAGATCTAAGGTTGGGGGGTGAGGGGCATCTAAGATTATCTAATCCCAAACTCCGTTAAAACTGTCGGCTGACTTCACTTGTGCTCATAGTCTCATCAGCCTCATTTCCTCTCCCTTAATTACACATGTTTATCCATATTATGATCACTATATTTTCCACTGAATGTCATTTCCCAGTCACTGCTCTCGATGCTGCGAGATGAGACGGCCATCAGATGAAGTCTAAAAATACCGCCTCCTAATTGAATCCACAAATGGGATTTATGAAATCATTTATTATTAATTAAATATTATCATTAAATAAATCACTGTAGGAGTTTTTTGTTCGAGGTGGTCAACATAGTTCATGTGTTTTTCTTTTTCCTGTCCTTCAGGATCTGCTCTGAGTTAGGCAGAATTCCCTGGTCCATTTGTTGAGTGGGTTTAGAAATAATAATGCCTTTATAAAAGTAAACCTGGACCTAAAAGAAATAGAAACAGAAAAAAAACATGACAGACAGACAGAGGACGGTGTTGTTAGATCACTACAGATACCCACCTGTCCAGGTCAGCGCTAATCCCAGCTGACCATCGCTGGAAAAAATCACACCACGGTCTTTTGGATGATTTCAAACTGACGAATGAAGAAATTAGTTTGCATGTTTTTTAAATTTTTTTATTGAATTCTTCATAAAGTGCTGCATGTTCTCATTGAAACACAGCTGGTAATGTGATATAAACCTGTTACATACGACCTCCTAAGACAGAATATTGAAATCTGAAAGAAGTGAAGACGTTTCGACAAAGGTGTTGTTCTTAGGTGGTGTTACGAGGTAAGACGTTCAGAGTCGTTTGGCTTGGAATAGTATGAGACAGCGTAAGGCATACGGAGTGGTGCGGCAGAAAGACGAGTCCTTAAAGATCACAGTGGCCTCACTTGAAAAACATTAACATCTGAGGGTCCTCTGGTCTTGGGGGTCATGTCCAGCTGGTGCAGGTCATCACTGGTGATGATGAAGACTATGGACGAGGAGCTGAAGGTAACCCTCTTCTTGGGTCTGTTTCTGCTTCCACAATCGTTGGACACCACTATAGGGCGGATGGGTCGTACGACTGGGGTCACGGAGCGCTCTTTGTAGGCCGGTTGGAGGCCAGAAAGATGAGAACACAGCAGCTGCTGCAAACATCGCCTGAACTGTTGGAGAAGCAGAGCAGGGAGATGAAGACTCGGTGATGTTTGAGGAAAGGATACTTCTTTGTTAAGTTTTTAAGTTTAGCTTAACTCCATAATACACGTCACCAAGTGGAGAACATATCATTCCCTATCCTGGGGTTGCAGACCCCAAACTAACATGGTTACATTTATTATATTTTTTAATCATGCTGAAGATGTGCAGCTCCTGTGAATATTGTTCCACTCATCAACTCTGTCTGATGTTGCCTCATGACAAAAAGGCAGCTCCATGATGACAGTATTATGTACTGAGGGATACAAAACTCAACTTTAAAGCTCAATCTCCTCAGACTGAGTCTTAGACAGCAAGAACCACTGAGAGACAAAGTGGCCTGTGATGGCCTGTACACTCACTTGGTTTAAACTGTTCTTTCACAATTGCACTTTAAAGGGCAAACAGCACTGTTCAAAAATCTGCTTCCAAAGGTTAGCTTAGATAATATTGGACAGATTTTAGATTTTTTTTTTATCTAGTGAAGATGCTTGATCTGCAAGAAGTTTGGCAGAAGAAAGAAAAAAAAACTGCCATGTTTTTTCCCTTATTAGGAAGGCAGTCCATTGGAAACACTCTCTAACTCCAGGTCACAACAGGTGAAAGAGCTGAAGAATGGATGTCATCACTATCATGTTGTACTCTCCGTGTTATTGCCTCTGAATCCTTCTAATAATAAAACTAAAAAATATAAAAAGAAATTAAAAAAGGAAAAGGCAAAATGAAAAAAAAAAAAACAATGACAATTTTACCCCGGCATAAAATTAAAATATTATACATCATAATGTTATATGACCTTTATAATAAATGCTAAAATTCTGCCTGCTACATTTTTTCAACCAAACCAGAGACCAGATCAATAACTACAAACCACGTGTTTGACCTTAGGTCACTGGAGACGAGAAACAATGAGAACATGACAGACCTTAGACAAGTCCAATATCTTTAAGAGATGACACTCGGCCTTTGACTTACTCGGGCTTTGCTCCTGTACTGTTCAGATAGTTGCATGTTTGACCATGGGAAAAAAAGCTATCGGAGGACAGAAAGGTCACATGACAGGAATGGGTGTAATCTTAGAGAAGCAGAGAGCAGAAGAACAGTTCGACCAAGGCCATGGTGTTCATCTCCATTGACATGCTCTGTTGACAACACACTGTCGTCTCTTATTTGAGATACTTTTGATTTCCCATATTTGTTCAGATTCATTGACTGACCTACAGATGTGTGCGAACAAATGATGACTGAACCATCAAAAGGATCTGTTGACTGAAGCATGTAATGGACGCTGCAGTGACCAAGGCAACTGAATGCGGAGGAACTGAATCCTACTCAAAAGTAATATTGCAAAATCGACCTGCAGTAGCTGCAGGAACCACAAACCTTTCTGCTCATAAACATGTAGATGAGTGGATTGTAGGCCGTGCTGGACTTGGCAAAGAATGAAGGAATGATGGCGAGTCTGGGAGAAACCTGGCTTCTTCTACCAAAGGCCTCTACCATGGAGACAGCAGCGTAAGGTGTCCAGCAGACCAGGAAGCAGGAGATCATTAAAAAGAACATGATGGCGACCTTTTTCTCGTATCGTAGGATCTTGACTATCTGAACTGTCTGCAGGTCCTGGATGGAGCGCAGCTGAGAAAAAAATTGTAAAAATGACAGCATTTTTAACTACTATAGTATATCAGTGTTGTTATACAGTGGAACCTCGGTTGTTGAACGCTTCCCTTTTTGAACAATTTGGTTGAGGGCCAAATTTTTCAACCAAAAATGGCCCCGGTTATCATACCATAACTCACTTATCGAACAAAAGACAATACCACGTAAGCAGCAAGTAAACACTACACGCTAAGAACTGTTGTCTGATTTTGCCGTTATTTCTTGCGGTCTGCTATTTCTTCTATTTTTTTATTTCAAAAATCACCACCAGTTTGAAAATCGAGTTTCCACTGTACATACAAATGTATTCATATATATAAATATATATTTATAAATATGTTTATATATGGTTTTAACCATGCTTTTAAAGCATATACATGTGGTATTATTACAACTGTCTTGTATCAAAAATTGATATCCGGTAGGCCCCCATTGGTCGGCTTGTTCTTTTATATTCCACCTTGGTTACTACTGATCTACTACTGCCGTAACAGGTATTTCTGTGTCTTACCCTCTGCACTGCATAGAGTATGTTCCCATAGCAGTAGATCATGACTCCCACTGGCACAAAGAAACACGCCAGGAGGAAGAAGAAAATAAAGGAGGCGTCATTGGGGTCCTTTGAAGCCCAGTCCAGAGAGCAGCCCAGCTGGTGAATCTCCAGCGTGTAACGATTCCAGCCCAGCAGAGGAGCCCCCGTCCAGACTAAGGAGTACAGCCAGATGTGGGCGATGGCCCGCCACGTCCAGGGGAAGTCCACCACCTGGGCGTGGACCACTCGAATGTAGCGCTCATAGGCCAGGGCTGCCAAAGTCATGATGGAAACAATGCCTGACATGGAAGGGAGTAAAAGGGAGAGAGAGAAATATATAGTGTAATACTCATCACAGAATCTGGGTCAGTGTCTCTTTAGACTGGAGTTTCATCATTTTAGTATAAACAGAATTTCAAATGTGATGGTTCTGAACTGTACAGCGTGCAGATAGTTCTCTTTTTCGCTCTCGCTTCACAACCGTACTCACACATGCACACACTCATTCACATGCTAAAAGCAATTCAATTACACACTCCAGAGTCTTGGGTTAATAAAGCTTGGGATGTGAAAACACCAACCGTCTTCGTACCAGGGGACAAGACATTAAATATTAAAATACGTACATTACAAGCCGTACATCAAAAATAACTAAACACCACACAGGGAGAAAAAAGGTGAACGGACTGACTGTGTCGGTGTGTATGTGTGTGTGTGTGTGTGTCACCCTGTCACCATCCTCCATAGGGTCTACAGCACATGTGATATCACATGTTTGTGCCCACAGGACTACAGGACACAGATAGAGCTGCGAGGATTTATCTTCATACATGTTCACATTTACTGTATATTGAAATCTGAGCCAACAGGAACCTGTGTGTTATTTTCATTTTAACCTCTAGGTGCTGCTGCCTCACACTCGGTATATTTATACCAAATTGTGGAAAAATATTACCTGGAACCTGGCGCTTATTGTATGTGTTACTGTTTACATTATGTTATTATATATGCCGTCTCGGGTCAATCTTTCTCTAGTATTTTTTTTGTGTTGTTTATGAAACACATTTTGTTTCCAAAAGAATTTCCATAGGACATCATAACACCTAAATTAACTTGTATTTCATTTCAAGGGCGCCCTCTCTGACAGTGGCAGCTAAACACTTTCATTCAACCCTGGTTACATAGGTAGTCAATGTGAATTAAAGGACACAGAGGGTGTAGACAAAAAACAGACCAGCCCACTTCATGTCTTTGTTCATTTTGCTGATAAAGCAGGGAAACACTTGCAGGTTTGCACTAATGATTTAATTATCCCTCATCCATCTTCTGAGCTTTAGTTCTGCAGGGCTGGAGCTCCACTGATGCTTTACGCCCTTAACACTGATAATGAATGGACGACAGAAGGGTCTAGGGACAAGGTCGTCAGCAGGGCGTCTGTGATCCTTAGCTGTATGTGAGGTTTGGTGTATTGGACAGATTTTTATGTTTTATAAATAAATGCTAAATAACAAGATGTTTTAACAAAACATATAAACTCTCTCTCCATCCCTCTCTTTATCAGTTTAGTGGGCTTTAGTTTGACTGAATATGTAATCATTATCTACATTTTTGTACACAGACCTCAGGTATAAAATACATGTAACTGGGTTTGTATAACATTTCATATGCAATTATACCTGCAGTGAAAGTCATCCAGTAAGTCATGATTTTATTGATGAAACAATAAATATACTGGTGTTTAAAAAGCACCGAGGTGTGAAATTATATTAAACACTGTCTAACAAGCAGGGGAATAAAGTGGGTGTCCCACAAGGGCAGATTTTACTGCAGCCACTGATGGAGGTGAGGGGATCAAATCCAATTACTGATGGTCAGTAAACTGGATTATAACCAGCACTAAAATTAATGTCATGAAAGTTGGATGGGAAGAGACAGAAGAAATGTCACCTTATGTACATTGTAATTATCACAGACCTCAGCTAAAGGACTGTGAACGGTTTATATTGCAATCTTACAGTAATGTATTGTATGTTGTTTGTTTTTATTTCTCCTTATTATATTACTGCTGATTTTCAGTGCATCTGACGTCATTTGACGTGTATAATTTCACGTATTAACATGTAAATACAAATGAACTTGTATTATCCAACAGAAAAGAACATTTCTGGATGTTGTTTTTTATTTAATTTAATTACATTGTGATGCAATCGTCATTAGATAGACAGGGAGAAGGAATGGTTTTTCATTTTTTTGAAATTTGTAATTTTATGCCGAAACAAACTATTTAATAAGACATTAGTGTTAAAAAATTCATTGTATTCTGTTACTCACCAAAGAGCCCGTTGCTGAATCCATCCCAGACGCATGTTGCCTGGCTCCAAACCCATCCGCCTTTAACGCACGACACAAAGGTGAAGTTAATTCCGATGGCAGACACCAGAAAATCACTCACGCAGATGTTGACCAGTAACAAATTGGTGGGAGAACGCAGCTTCTTGAATTTACAGTACAGTACGATGACCAGCGCGTTGTTACAGAAGCCGATCACCCCAATAGTTCCGATGGTGACGGCCAGAAGTTTATAGGTGCCGAGTTCGAACAGGTGACTGTCCGTGCTTCTCTCTGCCCTGGTTTCATTGACAGGATTCATGTCGCGGGGAAAAACTTACTTTCCAGCATACTGAACCTGGTGCGGTGCCACGGCGCCACTGACACTGAGCTCCAGAGACTCACATTCATGCGCTTTGATCCACGCAACCTGCGCAGCTCATTTAGAACCTCCCTCAGACTGAGGACGGCTGAAACTGGGTCAATGTACCTCGGTCTAGACAAACAGTGTGAATGAGGAGATATTATTATTATTCATCACATATGACTTGGCACAATCCTAGTATTTGTTTTTGATGAATAATAAGTGTCCAAGAACATTATTGTAATTTGTGATCCTATTTAGTGGAAAAATATGATAAAAAATATGATGAAGCATAATTATAGACTGCAAAAATACATATTCTCATTACTTATTGTTTTTTATTGTCTCTGTATGTATATATATATATATATGTCTATCTATCTATCTATCTATCTATGATGGTCAGTGCAGTTGTCAGTCAACCACAGAGGTCATCTGATATAATGTAGCTGTCCACCTCTTGATAATTTCTACTCCCCCCAACAAATATACAGTACATAGGTTTCATTGAAGGACACATTAAATCAGTGGTTCAGACCATGAACTCTGCAGGAAAATGCATTAGTTCTTAATCTTTTACCACTAAATCCTGTTCAAGGTTGCACTCAGGACAGTTTGTCCAGTCCATCCCTTGGCCACATCAACAAACAACCACTCCACACTGACACCCACACCTATGGCCCATTGATATCATCGTAGTAGTAACCAAAACCTGCATTTTGGACTGTGAGGAAAACTAAACAAATCTGTACGTACTTGGGACCCACATGTAACATTTGCTGTAGCCTCACTAGAGAGTCATCAGTTTATGGCTGATGTGCAATTAACTGGAGAAGAATCATTAAATTGTGGTGCCCTTAGCAATGTGTAATTATACCATTACCTTCATTAGGATATGAACTGGATCTGGATTGGACCATTTATTAATCCAGGTGAAGTTTTTGCATTCAAGGACTGCTGTTTTTTTGTTTTTTTTTTAAATGTACATTCCAGTACATTGCACTGTGCTCAGGAAAATGTCCAGCTCTACAAAAGACAAAAAACATGCAGTACTGCTGTGTACTAGTCCGTACCAGAGAAGCCAAAAACAGTTAACAGTGGATTATATCAATGGGAAACAATCATCTCCTCTTTTTTATTTTCATCAGAAGATGTAACACTGAGGATGCAAACAATAACACAGAGACGTTCACATTGGGAACAGGACAGAGGTGTTGTCAGAGAGGAATGGGAAGTGAGTGCTATAGGGAGTGAGGTGTGAAGGTAACGGGGAACAGGTGTGAGACTACTGTAATCACCTGGGAGGGAGCAGAAAAGAACTCAGGGAACAAGCAGAAGGTGAAACACATCGTCCTGTTCTGTGTGAAGCAGCACAAAGAGGTTCAGAAGTTTAAAAAGACACACACACACCTCTGACTTTTGTTTAATGGTAAGTAGAATGATTTGGACATTTCCAAAACGGGCTGTCAGATCGGCTCTGTTCTGTCCTCCGGTCTTCAACAGGAAGGAGGATGTAGACTTGGACAACGGGGGATAAAGGAAACAGTTGAGCTTTAAATCATGAGGCGTGTCAGTGTTCACATGGAGGTTTCAACCATAATGAAAAAGCTTTGTCTAAAGATAGAAATGGAAAGCTTGATGAAATTATTTGTGGGAAAAATGTCTCTCTGTAAAGAAGCTATCTGTCAATGTTTTCATCCCATTTATGGAAGAGGACAATTTTTATGAGTCTTCTTCAATGTCACTGCCCAGGTCTGTGGCAGCTTTTCTAATGAGCTCTAGTCCAGTGTTTCAGTTCTTCAGTGACCTCAGTAACATGTACTGTACAATAAAATCAACATTTATTTTAGAACAACCACAAATATTGAACAAGGAAATAATGCATTAAAATGATTTGATTGGAAATGTGATTGAGCTGATTGTGGAGAAGCCAAACTCTCCTTCAGGGTGGCTGTTGTAATTGCAGTCAGTGGCAGAATGATGCTTCCACTAACGACGTCGGTGAGGTAATAAAATAATCCTTTAAACAGATTCACAGGAGAGCACTGGAGATTTAACAAACCAACATCTTAGTGTTTCACCTTTATTCAGTGCTAAATTATTCATGAAATGAAACTTTACCTTGTAACAGGATCGGAGCGATGTGTGAGCACATTCGTGATTAGAGCTTAAGTTTCACATGTGTAGAACTGCGTGTTGACACGACACAGTAAGAGCTGTTTGTATAAAGAGGTCATGGCAAATGTGAGAGGGGGCGCTGTTCTCAGACCTTCACTGTTTAAATGGAGCTCGTCTTGAAGCTGCCTTAATGTGAATGTGGTGAAGATGTGACCTTGAGTTATGTAATATTTGATGACAATGGAAAACACTTCTTAACAAACTAACATGCATTTTCCTGACAAAAAGCATTTCTAAAAGCACATTTATGAGTTTGTGACAATGCAGACTACGGGGGGATTGAAGACATTACAGTCTAATGTTGTAATACATTTATTCCATTATTAATAGTAGAATTGCAGCAGAATGGAATTGTAGTCTACAATGGAATAAATAAAACAGACTCTAGTGGAAGTGCAGACAAAATAGGCTATGGTTAGACTAAGACTAACCATAGACTAAACAAGTCTACGTGAATGTACCGTGGTCCACAACTGGAATAATCCCAATGTGGACTACATTGGGATTAATGACAGGGAGACCACAGTGGAAATAAAATTGCTGCATACTGTAGTGGGATTCAAGACAATAAATAAAGCAGTCTAGAGTGGGAGTAGAGACACTGGAAGATAATCTAGACCAAATTAGTAATAAAAATAATGTTTTCTGCAACTTGAATTAAAACCTTGCAGACTACAGGATGAGTAAAACAATGCAGACCTCACTGGGATTATTAAAATGTAGACTGTAATGGGTATAAAAACGTCAACTTCCTCCTGTGTAGGTCTGAACTAAGGACCGGCTCATGCTGTGATGAAAAATGCCATTGATTTTCTCATTTGTGCTTTTAGATTGACGCCTAGAAGACGTTCAAGGACGCAGCAGGCAGTAACCATGTGGGAATGGTAGGTGTCAGTGCACATTGTCCCACCATCACCCTGTCTTTCTCACTCCTCGTTCCTTCTCGTTCCTCCTCAATGTCCTTCACTGTCACGGTGGGAAATGCTGAGTCTTGAACTATTGGTGATGGTCTATGAGACATGAATTCGTAATGACGTCCCCACACCGATGTAGTTATCATAATCATCATCTCCTCCAAACTTCATTTCCAAAAAGGAGCCATCAACGGAATTCATTACAATCTCATGATCGGTGTACATAATTAATGTCCATCTGAATAACACAGTGATGCACATCAGTCTGCTCAAGGGAACTCACAAGGCATGACCTCATTTGCAGACACAGCAACATGTAAATGAGTGCACTCACAGTGTGGACAACAATTTTTTGTTGTCCGTTGTCTGACAGTTTGTGAATTTGAATTTTCTAATTTCTAGTTTCTAATTTTAATTTTAAACCAGCTGAAATTTGACTTTTCTAATGTTTCTAATTTTAATTTTAAACCAGCTGTAGGTCCAGTACAGACGACCAGAAACAAAGAAGTTTTATTGCTAAAACATTTTGGGCCATTACCAAATATATTTCATTAGTTGGTTTTTCTGGCTTCTGTGCACGTCTCAAACTCAAGGCCCGCAGGCCATATGTGCCCATAAGTCAGGAGCTTAAACAGCATTTAATTAGGATGTTGTCTGTTCTCTGTGTTCAGAGTGAAGGTGACGAAGAACTAACAGTGACAGTGAGGTGTTTGGAGCTGAGTCAAGTTCGTGGTACATGTGATCTGTTCTACTTCAAATATAAATCATAAAAACGTTTTAAGGTTGTATGCACTCACATTAGACGTCATCCTTTGATTGATTCAGAGCATTTGTTTTATCTAATATTCTGTGTGAAACAGAACAGATTATTTCCAGTTTAAAAAAAAGTTTGGTTCACCAGACCATCACAGGGCCACATTATATAAACACAACCATTCACACTCACATCCATACCTAAGGTGAATTCACAGGGTCCAAATGACCTAATCCCTTAATAGAAATGGTTAAACCAGTGAACCAGTGATGTTCCTGCTGTAAAATGCAATAAATGTGTTTATTGCATTTCAAATAGTTAGATTAGATTTTTTTTTAGTTATACAAAACTACAACCTGAATAATCCATGATCATACAGTTTCAGGCCACTCACTCATGGACCGGTACAAACTGCATTTTAAAGTGCACCCTCCTCATCATCATCATGGTGTCATTGGATAGGGCAGTTGTGCTGCTGATAACAGATGATGAAAAGAACAGAGGCTTCAGACGGCCATTACCATTCAGCAGAACTCTGCAGGACCTGAAAGCCTATAGACAGGTAGGGGGGGAACCAGATAACATGTTCTGAAGATGGTGACGTTTCAGAGACAACATGATCCTCCTAATCCTGCTAATCTTACAGTGAGAACAGAACTGCAGCACAGTTCTGGTCTGGACTGTGTTGAGTTAAACAATCACTATATATATATATATATATGTATATATATATATATATATACAGTATATATATATAAATCCATCTTTGTATAAGGTCATAAGTTAATTCATTTGTACATGAAGTCCACTTTAAAACCTCACCGTATTATTGCTGCTATTGTTCTAAGTGATAACCAGAACTGCTTAGTGAATCCACAGGTTTTACATCTCAGCTATTTTCAGTGCAGATGACTTGAGTTTTTTTTTTCTGTTTTAATTTTTTTTTTTGTCAAAGGCTCAACAGCGTCTGATGATTGTGACATACATACTTCACACTACATTTTTCTTGTAAGGCCAAGAAAAATGTAGTGATCATTGGAGCACCGTAAGGCCAAGAAAAATGTAGTGATCATATTCATAGAGGTATGTGCATTACTTCATACTTTCAGATCCTTTGAACAGACAGCTCTGAAATACACGACAGCTGTGTTTACTCAGGCAGACGAGAGAACTGTCCAGATACAGGGAAAGGCCATAACAGAAGAGATGGGGATCACTAAAGTAAAGGTCAAACAGGCTTTGACTGAGCCAGGAAAAACCTCACACTGGTCTAACACACACATGTAGGTAGAAAGAGGAGAAAACAGACAGGTTTATTATTGTGGTTGGCAGAGAACACAGAAGAAGAGAAAGAAGAGACTAGGATGTTTAGGTGGAGCTCACTGGAGAAGAGTGGACAATATGACAAAAATAAAACAGATTTAAGCTGTTGTTGTGTGGAATTCGACATTTGGATTTTGTCTGCTCATGCATGTAAGGGTGTCAGGATTTATGGGATTAGATATTTCATCTGAAAATGTTTATTAAATACGTAGAAGAAACAGGAATATTTCATTTCTGGGAAAAAACATTTTGGTCCTATTATTTAGTTCAAGGTAAATTATATTAATATTGATTGATTGAAGTTTATTAGTACATATGAGGTATTCAGTGTTTTTTATTTAAGAGGATGTTTATATAGTGTTATTTTACAGGATAACATAACTTTTTTCCAAGGCAGATATGAGACCTCTAAAACCTGTCAACTATTGTTATTGTAGTTATTAGTGTTGAGCCTTTGTGTTTGTGCACTCACTAATCCCTGTCGCACAATAGTAATGTTATCCAGTCCTGTGAATAAGTCCATCAGACGTAAACACTTGACTTTCCTCTGCCTTCATTATTTGTCTCTCTCTCTGGGTATCAGAGAAAAATGAATTTCCTCTGCAAGTCAATAAGTCCAGCTGTGAATAATTCAGCAGTGTGATTTATTTTATGTTGAGCCAGATGCACACCAGGGAAAAGCACGGGATGAATTTTTTAAAACGTTTATTTTAGCCTTTTCTCCTCAGAGAACACTAAGTGAACCAGTTGCCTTTGGCTTTGGGTAAAAAAAGGCTGATGATTAACTGAAACCAGATCAGTAAAAATGTCTGGACACCATTTTCTTAGATGCACAGGACTGTGTCTGTTATGATGACAGTAATGATGTCAATATGGTGTGCAAGACAAAATAATACCACAGCGCACCACCCAAACATTAATAACTAAATTGGGTTGGATTGAACATAGACACAAAGCTCCTCACAGTGTTTTACAGCTACTTTTACAAAATTAAAAATGACTGAGAGCTTCTCATGTATTTTTTTTATAGATCAATTCGAACAAAAGGCTCAATAAGATTTCCCATCGTCATGACGATTGCCAAACACTAGTAGAGTGCAGTCGGTTGTGCTAGTTATTGTCAGTAGACGGCGACATTCTACAGAAAAAATATATATACTGTAAAAAACAACAACAAAAAATATTTGGTCAACATTTATATATGTACATTTAAATATATATATATAATCCCATAGTGTTTCTCGCCACAGTACAGTAACTTGAAAAACAGAGGACTTAAAACATTAAGCTTTAGTTGTTGACTGGACATTACAGTCAGCAAGTTATCCTCTCTTCTGAAGTCCAGAATTATCTCACAGCAGACAATCCTTCATCCAATTCTGGGGCTTATCTTTTCAACAGCGGGTTTGGCAGGAAGTGGAACATCTGATGTGTTGAGTGCTGCTGCTGCTGTGTGGTTTAGGGGAGGCAGACAGGCGATTACCGCTGTCTGAAATCAGGAAATGGAAGTGACTGACAGTAAGTAGATTTGATGAACACCACTGAACAATTTAATTACTCAAAAAAAAAAAAATACTGTTTGGTAAATCCCCATAGAACACCGAGTATTACTGGAAAACCTAAGCACAAATTAAACATCAGGGAAAACATGCTAAAACAACTCTAACAGCGTAACACTTTTTTGTGTTTATTTTATTTTTTGGACACACTTGTCATATGAAACAAAACCTTTACATGATGTTAGGCAACACAGCAAAGATGTAGGGCTTGGAGCGGCACACAGACAGGTGGAGCACATCAGTTGATTAAAGGGACACCCACACAGGTGCAGGATTCTGATTGGATAGGAGAAACAGACAGGAGGGGAAGACAGAACTGATATGATTTTACTGAACAGCTGGACAGTTCATCCTGTCAGGTAAGACACACATGTACACTTGCCGTTTCATTGTCATTGTCATTTCTGTCACATAACATATGTATATATAGTTCTGGCAGCCTATTAAAATTGAATTGATATTTGAGATTTGTTTTTCAGCAGTTTTTCCCACTTTACAGTAAACATTTGAACTTATGCTTTAAAGAGTTTGGTGAATGTCTCCATACTGTGTCTCTGACCTGATGGACAGCAGCTATAGTTATCATTGAATTCACAATAATACAGCCAGCTCAGCACATGGCAACTGTTTAATATTATTTTGTAAAATCTTTTTTAACAAATGAAAGCCTGACATCTGGAATTGCTGATATATATATATATATATATATATATATTTTAAAAAGGAAGAAACATTTTGAATGTACTTCAAAGATCTTTGCTGCACCAACAGAACTATTCTGTGGTTCTGGGCACACGGGGTGAAGAACGCTCCTCCCACTGAAACCAAGTCAACCATAGCTCTATAGCTGTGCTGCTGACACAGCTGCTGTGCGTCTCACCATCTGCTTTTCTGCTGTAACATCCATTTCTTCCAGCTATAACCTGCAGTTTTGCGCACTTATCTTTATATTTATAGAGCACGTCAATATTGTCCTAAAACGAGACGTAACTTTAAGAAAGTCACACCTGTCTGACAGAATAAATCACATTTTAATGCTGAATGTTATGCCATCAACATCAGTACTATATCTAAATATATATATATATATATATAAAAGTATAAAAGTGATTTAACTATTTTTGTAAAAATGACAAGGTTTAGTTTGTCACCTGCATCTTCAACCACTCTAAAGATAGTTGTTAGATGCAAAATGCAAAACAAAACAAAAAGTCAAATTAACATTCATATCATGATGAAGGTGTGTCAGCCAGTGTTTTTGCTTCAAATGATGATAAAAGTAGAACTTCAAAGACTACAGCTGTTAAAAGCAGGGACGGAGACCTTGAATCTGAGGCCTGTCCTTCCCTCTGGCTGTAAACGTCTCACACACGGAGGCTGTGTTCACGCTCGTGGTGGATTTAAATAAGGGTTAATATGAAAGTAATGAGACTGGCCACACATTTATTAAGACCCCTCACGGCAGTTTTTATATCATTACTGAACACATCATTCCCTAAAGACATGGAACGGGCAGCAGCCAAGGGTCCTGTCTGTGGTTTGGAGAACATTTTTGCTCTAACCATTCACTAGGTTTTAAAGATTTTCCTTTTAAAAGCTCGTTTTTATTGTGTTTAAAAACCAAAGTCATCACCAGCCAGACGACTGAATAAGTCACGATCAGAAGCCGCAGATTACACAGCCAGCCACCTCAGCAGTGAAGGATAATGGTGATGGAAACCACTGAGTCCTGAGACTGGTTCTGGAGGGAATTACTGTCTATGGAAGAGCTGCACCACAATAAAGAGTTAATTAGCCAAATAATGAGCTTGTTTTTAGCCTGTTTTTTCTCATCTCGTCTTGGGTCTGATAGCTGAATATTTTGGATGGCATTCACTCACAATCAACATCTGTTAACATCATACAGAATTATGTATTCCAAACACACAGATATGCAAACAAAACCTGACCTTGTTTTGGTTTTCTTTCTTCATTTCATGTCTTCCTCAGTCTCACTGTGCTGTAGAGAACCCCACCTTCTGGTTCTCCTCTGAGTCCCTCCCATTGCCTCTTCCCTGAGTCCTGGATTCACTCATGCAGTCGGTTGAGTAGAAATTCACCTGCATTTGTATTTCCACATCTTGGCCATAAAATCTTAGCCAGTGATTAAATGCTGGATGGTCTCTATAGTGTGCACTCAGCCTGAGCTGCGGTGACTGCAGCTGTGAAATCGATTTCAGGGGGCTGATGTTTACTGTGGTTGAGCTCAGTTTGATTGGTATTCAGAATTCTTGCTTTAACTAGTTTTTGCTCTAATTCTGACTCTGAGTTGACTGTCACTCAACAAGCTGTGATCAGTCAACATGTTTGATTACTGAGATGATGTGTTCATTTGCAGGACTTTTGCTTGAGTAAATAAGAGTATATTTATAGCAGTTGTTACATTTATTTACTAGTAAATGATAAATTCTTTTTTTATATAAACAGTAGTTAAAAGATTAGATTAACTTTTATTATCGAACTGTATTGAGCCCACACTGAGGAAACTGTAAAAAATATGTTAATGAAACCTAGCGTATCATGGTACAATACAGTTTGATGGCTGAGCCGACAGTGATGAGGCTTCAGCTTGTTCCTGTTCCTGCTGTGTGTATATATAGGTCAAGACTAAGTAGTCTTAAATAAATCTTATTTTTTGCAGGTTAAAGGAAAAATGTTTTTGCTATGTAGTAAGAACTATTAGTCAAATGAACACAGTAAGATGCTAGATACAGTCTTTTCTATCAATTATTTTCTTTTTCTTTTAATGAACAACGCCTTTGTCGTTAACTGCACAGACCAAGGGTTTTTCTTTCATGTTCTCCATATCCACCCTTGACCCACTTTTCCAATAAACGTGTCTGTCACCAGTGATAACATTCTCTTATGGATTGACCATTTCCTTTGATTATATCGGGATATGATGAACTACTAGCTATGGCAGAGTGTCTTTGCCACGATAAGGGCATCTATAGGAGAATAAAATTGTTCGCGGTGATCTTTCCTTGAAAGCCAGCGTAGTTCTTGAAAGGTCGACTACCCACCAGCACATACTGGAGGAAGTGAAAATTAAAACATTCACTATGAAACAGCTCCAAACTGTTATATTCCATGGAATACAATTTCAATGTAGGATAGAGTCAGAATTTGATGGGGTGAAAATTGAACTGTGTAGATTTTTATTTTTATTTTATTTCATTAAAAAAAACCATTTAATTGCACCACTCTATGACATTGGTAACACTGTTTTGCTGATCACTTGCAAAAATTCTATCTATCTATCTATCTATCTATCTATCTATGTATCTATATCTATATCTAGATAGATAGATAGATGGATGGATGGATGGATGCATGGATGGATGGATGGATAGATAGATAGATAGATAATCTACGTTTTTGGGTGACGTTTACATGTCCTAAATCTCAAACACTGGATTGTGTCACGGTGCTGACCATGTGACCTTTGCTTCGTCCTTATTGATCTCTGGGTGTTTATTTGCTGGTCAGCAGCAGGTAGACAGACACATGACTAACATCCTGATCAACGTATGAAAAATGGTGCTGTCTTTTACATAGTACCAAATCGGCTCTGTGTGTCTTTGACAAGTCACCTGTCCCCTGGTATACACTAAAATCGAATGAGTGTAATCTAAACCTGTCACTCATATAGACCAGATATTAATTACTAGGCTGGTAGAGCCAGCTGTTGATTAAATGGATGGCAATAAAAAGTGATTAATTATGTGCAGTGTTAACTGCACAATATTTTAATAATAAAATAGTGATTAAAAAACCTAAGTTGAGCAGTGAAAAGCTTTTTTTTTACATACTTAAGTTTTAAGTGTCTCCATTTTTTGTCAAATTTAGTTCTACGTTTTGCTACATTTTCTAATTTTTACAGGTCAGTGCAGCTCTCAGACATTAAAAGGTTCTCTACTGTATTGGAAAATTGTAATTTGAACACTAGGTGGCACTTGAGGTTGAGTAATAAAGTGATGAAACTAAGGACTTCTTGAAATAATCTTTCTTACTTACGCTTTACTTGACTGTTGGTTTTGTAAGATAAAATAAAATAATAAAGTATTATTGCCCTGAAAAAGATAAAGTGGTAGAAAATAAATGAACGAGTTTAGATTTTCCTTTTTTTTTTTTTTTTTCAAGGTAACTGTTCAAATAGTTACATTTTAAACCGGGTGTCGTACATTAACCCGTGGGTTTGTGTGTGTGAGGCTCAGGGTTCACAACTGTTTGTGATTTTATTCTGTCCTTGAGCTTTAAGGTCAGCTTTTGTTCAGCGAGGCTAGGATGACACCCAGTGGTTACTCACAAAAAGAAAGCTACACCAAGTCAGCACATTGAAGAGGCTACACTACTGAATAATAATAATAATAATAATAATAATAATAATAATAATAATAATAATAATAATAATAATAATAATAATAATAATAATAATAATAATAATAATAATAATAATAATAATAATAATAATAATAATAATAATAATTATTATTATTATTATTATTATTTATTATAAGTATTATTGTTGTTGTTATTATGATTGTATATAATAATAATCATAATAATTTTTATTTATTAATATGTTAATAATATATTACATCTATCTTTATTATCTTGCTGATTATTGATAATTTTTATAATTATTCTCCTTCCAGTCTATGAATGATTTGCTCACAGTACAGCTTTACTGTTTTTTTGTGTGTAAATAAACTTCAGTTTTTGTGCTGTGTGTGTTTGTGTGTAGCGCACACTCTCTTATTTAGAATTTTTTTGTCAAAATTGTGTTGCTATGACTCAGTAGTTGCCGTCTAAACCAAAGTATAGTGGAAAGGAACGTTGTTGTATTTTGTTTTTCCTGATGCTAATGTTGTGTCCATTTGCCTCACACTCTAAAATACAACTGAGTCGTCAGCATAAGTCATGGCCTTTTTCAGGTAATGGTCAATGCCCATCAGTCACCGTGACCTTAGTGACTGTGGATCATGTGACGACTATTGGTCCTGAAGGGTCACCAACAATCGACTGGCACGCCAGAATGTCATAAGTCCTTAAGACAAATTGACAGGTTGCATGCGAAGGACTGGGGATTAAGTCAAACCACAGAGTAGTCAAGTCATTTGGATTTGAAATCTTCCTCTGTTTACCATATAAGGGAAAGGACAGTCAGGTGATGTCACCGAGACAAAACATAACATTTGTACAACAGCTCTGACTTAAACTTTGACTTGACGTTTTCAGGCATTTCACCAACAGGACAGTATTTCATAAAGACCACAATCACTTCTACAAATCTTTAGTTTAGTAGTTAGCCATTTAGTGACATGGAAAACAAAGCCTGGAGAGACAAATCCCTTCCCTAGAAACTTAGCTGCTGCCAAACAAAACAGATCTAGATCTTTGGGCACGCACTCCTTGTGCCTGATGCTGAAATGCGGATTAAGAGAGACCTGGGTGGTCTGGAGAAATCCTCTTGGTTCAAGTTAATCTAAGGCATCGTGTTCAATAAGCCGGATAACACTGACCATGCAAAAGCTTACAATAGAGGGCGCTGTCGACTACTTATAATCACCACTGTGAGGTTCTTTAACAGGTTTCATCAGTTTAAAGCTTTTTGTTTTTGTAGCACATAATCTAGAGTTAGTTAAAAAAAAGTCTTTCCAAAATTAAAAAAGGTTTGACAGTAAATTAGACTTTGAATTGAATCAGAGAGGTTAGCGCAGAGACATTAATGTTTTTTAAATCAGCACAGAAAAAAAAACCTTTTTACTTCATATAATGCTTCTTTTATTCCAGACAAATAAATTAGAAACAACAGGAAATTATAGGAAACACATGGTAACAGCCAACAGTCAGCGTGGGTCACTGGAAGTTTCCCTATTGATAATCAGAGCCAGGCGTTTCTCCAGATGAACACAGTCAGACACAGGGCTGACAGGAAAGACAGTAAGAGAGACAAAGTTAATCTGATGCACTACAGTTAGACCGCTGCAGTTCTGAATCAGGGGAGACTGTAGATATTCAGACACAGGTGGACTGAACGTTACTGAATGCTAACATTTTCTACACATTCTTCTTATTTTAATTATTTCCGGTTGTTGTTGGGTTTTTTTTTTTTGATATATTGGGAGCTTTTTTGTTGCTTTGATATATTTACTAACTTTCAGTTATTCTGGTTTTACTAAGTTACGCAATTTTCTTTTTTTATGCAATTCTAGGTAATCTGTTACTTATGTTTACTCTTCTTTGTTATAGCGATGTTTTGGCTAACTCTTAGTGGTGTATTTATCTACATCTGGGCTTTTGTTGTTTATGTTTTTAGCTTATTTGTTAGCAGTTCTTGACTAACCTTTTCTAAAAGGCTTTTTCTTGATTGCAATGTAAATGTTAAATTTAGTTTTTTTGTTTTTCTCACACATTTTTTGTGTCTTTTGTCTTTTATTTGCCTCTGGTATTTCTGACAACTTTGAACCTTTTTGCTATATTGTTGAGCAGACTTAGTATTCAAATATTTGAATCATTAGAAGTTTGAAATATTGTTTTAGAGTGGTTAAAAACTGTATTAATGGAATAAAAAAATTAAATTAATTCCATTGCGAATGAATCAAAAACCTTCAAATTCGGCTCCTGTTAGAAAACCTCTGGGTCTCTTCAGTCAAACCACTGTCCTTGTCTCAACTTGCATAAAATAAAAGTCCAGATTTCTCTTGTTTGTTTTGTTTGTTAACTGCTATGACTGACATTAATCACAGAGGCATCTTGATTTGGTATGTTTGTTCTTCTTATCTGTTCTACTCTTACGCGGATATTTCTCAAACGGAGCGCAGCAGAACAGCAGCAGCCGAAGGCCAAAACTGCTCAGGTCCTCAGAGTTCTTCAGCTTTGACCTTAGCCATCTGTGACTATTTCAGCAGAATATTAGTCACGAACTGTCATGACAGCCAAAAACTAAACCACTGGCATGTTCCTCTCTCACAAGGAAAAGAAGACCCTTTGACCTGTGATCCTGGGAAAGGTCAGTTATGTAAGAGTGGATGTGAGGGATTAATGAGACTGTTGTCAACAGTTTGGAAGAACACAAGTCACCTGTGAAGAAGACGATTTCTCTTCACCAGGTGTGTGACTTTTTTTCCCCATCACTTGGCTTAAGAAAGTTTGTTTTTAAAAAAA